GGGGGGGTTTTTTTTTGGGGGTTTTGCCCCCCAAAAAAATTTTTATAAAAAAAAAAATAATTTTTTTTTTTTTTAAAAAAATATTTTATATTTTATATATATAAAAATTTTAATTTTTTTAAATTTTTTAAAAAAAAAAAATTTTAAATTTAAAAAATTTTTAAAATTTTTTTTTTGGGGGGGGTTTTTTTTTTTTTGGGGAAGTTTTTTTTTGGGGGTTTAAAAAAATTTTGGGGGAAGGGGGGAAATTTTTTTTTTTTTAAAAAATTTTTTTTTTGGGGGATTTTTTTTTTTTTTGGGGGGGGGGAAAAAAAAAAATTTTTTTTTTTTTAAATTTTAAAAAAAAAAATTTTTTAAAAAAAAAATTATTTTTTATATTTTTTTAAAATTAAATATATATATTATATATATATATTTATATTTAAATATATATAAAAATTTATATATATATAAAAAAAAAAAATTTTTCTTTTTTAAAAAAAAAAAGGGGGAAAAATTTTAAAAAAAAAGGGGAAAAAAATTAAAATTTTGGATGAGCAAAGGAGGGTTCCCGAGTGGGTAGGGGAGGGGTAGGGTAAGTGTTTTACATTGAAGCCCTATATGTGAACAGTATTTTTAAAAAAGGTAGGGAAGTTTTTTTTTGCATTTATTGGGTTTGAAAAAGGGATATGAAAGAGTGGGGTGAAGAGCAATGTGGCAGATGTTTAAAATTTATGGAATAGGTGGGAAGTTATTAAATGCTGTTAAAAAAGCTTTTATGAGGGTAGTGAGGTTTTAGGTTAAAGGGGGGTTGTAAAGAAAAGAGGGAGAATACTTCCCGGTTTAAAAATAGGTCTTAGACGGGATGTGTTAAAAGTCACCATGGTTTTTTAATATAAATTTTTAGGGTGGGGTTTTTAAAAGAATAAATGCTAGGGTGTTTTTGGGGGGAGGGGTGGGGTTTTAAAATTTTGGGGAAAACAAATTCAAAATTTGGGAAATTTAAACAGTTACTATTTTCAGATGATACTGTGCTTATGGGGGGGATTCTAAAGAAAAAATTGGGAAAAAGGGTTTGTGGATGAGTTTGAGAATGTTTTGTAAAGGTTTGAAGTTGAAAGTGAAAATAGAAAAGGGTTTTAAAGGGGATGAGGGTAAACAAATGATTTAATAAAAAAAAATTGGATATCAAATTTGGGGGGGAGGAGTATGGGGAAAAAGTGAAAAGTTTTCAGAAATTGGGAGGGTTTACGTTCGGGGGATGGATTTAAAGAAGGATGGGGGGGTTAATCTTTGAATTTATGGGGGGAAAAAAAAAAAGGGGAGTGGTGCGTTGAGATATACGTGGAGTCAAAAAAAAAGTTATCTATGGGGGCAAAGAAAGGGGAAAGTAAAAGTATAGTAGTACCAACACCTTATTTTGGGTGTGAAACTTGGGGGGTAAATGCAGCAGGGGGGGAAAGGTTGGGGGCAGTGGGATGTCCTGTTTAAGGGGGAATGTGTGGTGTAAAAAATTTTGCAAAAATTCGGAGTGTGGAAATTAAGAAGGGGGGGAGTTAATAAAAGTATTAGTCAGAGGGCGAAGAGGGTTTTTTGAGGTGGTTTTTGGGCATTTAAGAGAAAAAATCCCAAATAGGGAAGGGCATGGAAAGCATATAAATCTATAGGGGAAAGGGAAAGGGGGGTAGGGGCATCTTCGGAAAAGGGGTTTGGGGAGAGGGGGGGTTTAAAAGGGGGTTTTTGGGTAAGGGGCTTGAAATTCCCCGCAAAGGTTTCGTGAGCGTGTTTAGATTGGAGTGAATGGAGACGAAAAGGTAACTTGGGGCCTGAGATCTTTTGGAGTGTGAGAAGGGGGAATATTTAGTTGGGGGGGGGTTCAGGGGGGAAACCCGGTTTTTTTCATATAGCGGACTTGAGTCCTGGAAAGGGGAATACAATGCCTGCACCCTTTAAAAGGAGGGTTTGGGATATTTGGGAGTTTGGGGGGGATATGTTTTTGTTTTCTTTATATGTGTATGCTTCTAGGGTGTTGTATTTTTGAGCCCCCTCTGCAAAAACCCGTGATAATGTGCGAGTGTGGTTTTAAAGTGTTGAATGATGATTAAAAAATATTTTCTTTTTTGGGGGGTTTTTTTCTTTTTGGGGGCACCCCGCCCCGGGGGGAGACGGGCCCACTTTTTTGGAAAAAAAAAAAAAAAATAAAATAAAATTTTAAAAGGGGAGTAGGTTGGTAGACAGCAACTGCCCCGGGAGGTCTACCGTCCTTTTCCAAAGGGGGTTTTTAAAAAGAAAAAACCCGTTTTGTTTTACATTGATGGTAGGATTGCTGGTATCCATTTTTTGTCTCACAAAAAATGCAAGGTTTCAGGTATGGGCTTTCTACTTTTCCCCACACTTTCGTCCAATACAAAATACATGTACAAGCATATCAGTGGGAAACCCCCCCCATAGCGACTTTAATCCGTGCAAAAAGGGGCCCTTGTTATGCAAAAGGGTCAGTAAAGCGAATGAAAATTTTTCCCCCTAAAAGGAAAATTTAATGGAAATCAAATTAATCCGTGCAAGACACCCAAAAGTATGAAAAAATTTTTTTACCACATGAAATATACATTTTCCTACACACAAAGAGAAGGATACATGCACAATAGTAGAGTAGTACATGCACAATATATATTGTGCATGTACTACTCTACTAAATGAAGAATAAATGACACTTACCTTTATTGAAGATGCAGCAATGACTGATGAGACACTATGTCCTGGGAGTGCCTTTTCCTCCTGAGTACTGTAGGTCCTGTTTGGCATTTTCTTCCAGAACAGGCCTTATCACACTGTGTATGCCACTACAATTCTTAAATCTCTCAAACCAACCTTTGCTGGCTTTAAATTCACCAATATGAGCACTAGTTCCAGGCATTTTTCCCTGTTCACCTGGGTGTTAGTCGACTGGTGTGGGTTGCATCCTGGGAGACAAGATTAAGGACCCCAATGGAAATAAGTTAGACAGTCTTCGATGACACTGACTTTTTTGGGTTATCCTGGGTGGCAAATCCTCTGGGGTTAATTTTTTCTTGGTATTCTCAATAAGCCACACCAACAACGGTGCTACAGCAGCAGCAGCAGCAGCTGACAGTGCTACAGCAGCAGCAGACGGTACTACAGCAGCAGCAGCAGCAGCTGACGGTGGTACAACAGCAGCAGCAGCAGACGATGCTACAGCAGCAGCAGACGATGCTACAGCAGCAGCAGACGATGCTACAGCAGGAGCAGACGATGCTACAGCAGCAGCAGACGGTACTATAGCAGCAGCAGCAGCTGACGGTGGTACAACAGCAGCAGCAGCTGACGGTGCTACAGCAGCAGCAGCAGCTGACAGTGCAGCAGCAGCTAACGGTGGTACAGCAGCAGCAGCAGCTGTACCACCAATAGTAGCGATGGTTGATTTGGGTTTCTTGTACAACCTGGCCAGGTCGGCGACACGCACTCCACTTTCATACTTATCAATGATCTCTTTCTTCATCTCTATAGTAATTCTCACCCTTATTGCTGTAGGGTTGGCACTAGAAGCTTTCTTGGGGCCCATGGTCACTTATTTTGCAGATAAAATCACCAAAAACACTGTAATAATACGAAATGTTCCGATTGTATGCTTGGATGTTACCGCGGAGGCTGGCTGGTAAACAATGCCACCGGCGGCACATGTGATGCTGGCTAAGGGCGCACATTGGACGCGTCTCGGACGAAGAGCGGCGAGCGGGTTTTTGAGCGGTATGCGATGCAAAATTTTTGCGATAAAAGCGAGCGGTATGCGGATTGTACGTTATGTGATGCCGACGGTATGCGGGGGTCCACTGTATATACATACATACATACCCCTCTGGGTTTTCTTCTATTTTCTTTCTAGTTCTTGTTCTTGTTTATTTCCTCTTATCTCCATGGGGAAGTGGAACAGAATTCTTCCTCCGTAAGCCATGCGTGTCGTAAGAGGCGACTAAAATGCCGAGAGCAAGGGGCTAGTAGCCCCTTCTCCTGTGTATATTACTAAATGTAAAAAGAGAAACTTTCGTTTTTCCTTTTGGGCCACCCCGCCTCGGTGGGATACGGCCGGTGTGTTGAAAGAAAGATTTTTTTTTTTTCAACAAGTCGGCCGTCTCCCACCGAGGCAGGGTGACCCAAAAAAGAAAGAAAATCCCCAAAAAGAAAATACTTTCATCATCATTCAACACTTTCACCACACTCGCACATTATCACTGTTTTTGCAGAGGTGCTCAAAATACAACAGTCTAGAAGCATACACATATAAAGATACACAACATATCCCTCCAAACTGCCAATATCCCAAACCCCTCCTTTAAAGTGCAGGCACTGTACTTCCCATTTCCAGGACTCAAGTCTGACTATATGAAAATAACCGGTTTCCCTGAATCCCTTCACTAAATATTACCCTGCTCACACTCCAACAGATCGTCAGGTCCCAAGTACCATTCGTCTCCATTCACTCCTATCTAACACGCTCACGCACGCTTGCTGGACGTCCAAGCCCCTTACCCACAAAACCTCCTTTACCCCCTCTCTCCAACCCTTTCGAGGACGACCCCTACCCCGCCTTCCTTCCCCTATAGATTTATATGCTTTCCATGTCATTCTACTTTGATCCATTCTCTCTAAATGACCAAACCACCTCAACAACCCCTCTTCTGCCCTCTGACTAATACTTTTATTAACTCCACACCTTCTCCTAATTTCCACACTCCGAATTATTTTATGAATAAATAAATACTGTCACTGAATAAGTAAAAAAGAAATAATTACTATATATGCCAGTATGGGTAATTATCATTACGTTTCACCTCCAAAGTAATTGCTTTTGCAACATTGTAAAGTTGAAATATCATACGTCAAACCATCCTAAGTTGAGGAGCATCTGTACATGGAAAGGAGAAGGCCCTGACAGGAAAGTTTGGAAATGAACAGGATATAATCTTATTTGTATAGAAGAAGCTGCCTGGAAAAAACCTCACCATTGGCTTATCATAGAATGGGAAACCTTGCATGGCTCTCATGGCATTTGTGGCACTCTGAATTTCCTTGAAGATGACGAAGGCCTGGCCTCGCATTTTCAGAGTTTTCAATGCGACGATATCAAGAATTTGACCAAATTGAGAGAATATTGCATAGAGAGATCTCTTTAATTCTGGAAAAAAAGAAACAGATCAGTCTGAGAATTTCAAATAATGACAAAGATAGTTCCTAAAATGTGACAAAGGATTACAAATTCTCACAGAAATATAAGACTAAATGAATTTCTTTACAAAGTTATATACAAGATACAAAAGTTTAAAATAATAAAACAGGAGGTTTACCTTCTTTTTTAACTTTTTCATTGAGGTTGTTTACATATATTGTATGATTTGGTCGAATGTCCAACATTGTGATGTTTTGTCACCTGAGAATAAAAAATTATATAGCAAGTAAAGTTTGTGACAATCGTATGCTTAACATAGAGATACATATTGTTTTGGTAAAAAGTGATATTATTTTTTATTAACACACTGGCCGATTCCCACCAAGGCAGGGTGGCCTGAAAAAGAAAAACTTTCACCATCATTCACTCCATCACTGTCTTGCCAGAAGGGTGCTTTACACTACAGTTTTCAAACTGCAACATTAACACCCCTCCTTCAGAGTGCAGGCACTGTACTTCCCATCTCCAGGACTCAAGTCCAGCCTGCCGGTTTCCCTGAAACCCTTTATAATTGTTACTTAACTCTCACTCCAACAGCATGTCAAGTATTAAAAACCATTTGTCTCCATTCATTCCTATCAAACACGCTCACGCATGCCCACTGGAAGTCCAGGCCCCTCGCACACAAAACCTCCTTTATCCCCTCCCTCCAACCTTTCCTAGGCTGGCCCCTACCCTGCCTTCCTTCCACTACAGACTGATACACTCTTGAAGTCATTCTGTTTCAATCCATTCTCTCTATATGTCCAAACCACCTCAACAACCCTTCCTCAGCCCTCTGGACAACAGTTTTGGTAATCCCGCACCTCCTCCTAACTTCCAAACTACGAATTCTCTGCATTATATTCACACCACACATTGCCCTCAGACATGACATTTCCACTGCCTCCAGCCTTCTCCTCGCTGCAACATTCATCACCCATGCTTCACACCCATATAAGAGCGTTGGTAAAACTATACTCTCATACATTCCTCTCTTTGCCTCCAAGGACAAAGTTCTTTGTCTCCACAGACTCCTAAGTGCACCGCTCACCCTTTTCCCCTCATCAATTCTATGATTCACCTCATCTTTCATAGACCCATCCGCTGACACGTCCACTCCCAAATATCTGAATACATTCACCTCCTCCATACTCTCTCCCTCCAATCTGATATCCAATCTTTCATCACCTAATCTTTTTGTTATCCTCATAACCTTACTCTTTCCTGTATTCACTTTTAATTTTCTTCTTTTGCATACCCTACCAAATTCATCCACCAACCTCTGCAACTTCATTCTGAATCTCCCAAGAGCACAGTGTCATCAGCAAAGAGCAACTGTGACAACTCCCACTTTATGTGTGATTCTTTATCTTTTAACTCCACACCTCTTGCCAAGACCCTCACATTTACTTCTCTTACAACCCCATCTATAAATATATTAAACAACCACGGTGACATCACACATTCTTGTCTAAGGCCTACTTTTACTGGGAAATAATCTCCCTCTTTCCTACATACTCTAACTTGAGCCTCACTATCTTCGTAAAAACTCTTCACTGCTTTCAGCAACCTACCTCCTACACCATACACTTGCAACATCTGCCACATTGCCCCCCTATCCACCCTGTCATACGACTTTTCCAAATCCATAAATGCCACAAAAACCTCTTTGGCCTTACCTAAATACTGTTCACTTATATGTTTCACTGTAAACACCTGGTCCACACACCCCCTACCTTTCCTAAAGCCTCCTTGTTCATCTGCTATCCTATTCTCCGTCTTTCTCTTAATTCTTTCAATAATAACTACCATACAATTTACCAGGTATACTCAACAGACTTATCCCCTTTAATTTTTGCACTCTCTTTTGTCCCCTTTGCCTTTATACAAAGGAACTATGCATGCTCTCTGCCAATCCCTAGGTACCTTACCCTCTTCCATACATTTATTAAATAATTGCACCAACCACTCCAAAACTATATCCCCACCTGCTTTAAACATTTCTATCTTTATCCCATCAATCCCGGCTGCCTTACCCCCTTTCATTTTACCTACTGCCTCACGAACTTCCCCACACTCACAACTGGCTCTTCCTCACTCCTACAAGATGTTATTCCTCCTTACCTTATACACGAAATCACAGCTTCCCTATCTTCATCAACATTTAACAATTCCTCAAAATATTCCCTCCATCTTCCCAATACCTCTAACTCTCCATTTAATAACTCCCTCTCCTATTTTTAACTGACAAATCCATTTGTTCTCTAGGCTTCCTTAACTTGTTAATCTCACTCCAAAACTTTTTCTTATTTTCAACAAAATTTGTTGATAACATCTCACCCACTCTCTCATTTGCTCTCTTTTTACATTGCTTCACCACTCTCTTAACCTCTCTCTTTTTCTCCATATACTCTTCCCTCCTTGCATCACTTCTACTTTGTAAAAACTTCTCATATGCTAGCTTTTTCTTCCTTACTACTCTCTTTACATCAACATTCCACCAATCGCTCCTCTTCCCTCCCGCATCCACTTTCCTGTAACTACAAACTTCTGCTGAACACTAACACTACATTTTTAAACCTGCCCCATACCTCTTCAACCTCACTGCCTATGCTCTCATTAGCCCATCTATCCTCCAATAGCTGTTTATATGTTAAATTAGACACATGTGCAACTCTTGGGTATCTTTATTGAGGAAACGTTTCGCCACACAGTGGCTTCATCAGTTCATACAAAGGATAAACTTGAAGAACAGGAGGAGAATGAGGTAATCAGTCCCTCAACCTCGAGTCGATGTGTTCAGTCCATCAATCTTGAATAGAAAACGTCTAATTTAACAACGTGTCTAATTTGTGTCTAATTTAACAACGTGTCGGTTCTTTGAACCATTCATCTACAAAGCTGTTTATATCTTACCCTAACTGCCTCCTCTTTTAGTTTATAAATCTTCACCTCTCTCTTCCCTGATGCTTCTATTCTCCTTGTATCCCATCTACCTTTTACTCTCAGTGTAGCTACAACTAAAAAGTGATCTGATATATCTGTGGCCCCTCTATAAACATGTACAACCTGAAGTCTACTCGACAGTCTTTTATCTACCAATACATAATCCAACAAACTACTGCCATTTCGCCCTACATCATATCTTGTATACTTATTTATCCTCTTTTTCTTAAAATATGTATTACCTATAACTAAACCCCTTTCTATACAAAGTTCAATCAAAGGGCTCCCATTATCATTTACACCTGGCACCCCAGACTTACCTACCACACCCTCTCTAAAAGTTTCTCCTACTTTAGCATTCAGGTCCCCTACCACAATTACTCTCTCACTTGGTTCAAAGGTTCCTATACGTTCACTTAACATCTCCCAAAATCTCTCTCTCTCCTCTACATTCCTCTCTTCTCCAGGTGCATACACTCTTATTATGACCCACTTTTCGCATCCAACCTTTACTTTAATCCACATAATCCTTGAATTTACACATTCATATTCTCTTTTCTCCTTCCATAACTGGAAGAGAATATATGATATATAGAGAGAAATAATATAAGATATAATATGCCACTATTGTTTACCTTTAACAACTCTGGGTGTATTTATTCCAACAATTGTTGAAACATATAATATGTAGTTTGTAAAACCATAGGTAGTGAATCAGAAGAGAGTTTATATAAAATTATGTTGATTTTGATTATTAATCCTTTAAAAATTTGATGTAAGACATGGCTAACAGCTGAGAAGCTTGTTGACTTTAATTAACACAGTCATCCTTGCAAATTTGGAGGGATGACTGTTATTATGGCTGATATGTTGGTAAATAACAATTTTCACAAAAAGAGAAGTGTGTTTCCTGCAGAACCACATAAATTTTGGGCAATTTCAATCAAGAAATAGTGCTTAACAAGGCCTGGGGAATATTTTCAACACTGACCAAGTATTTTTACACAGCAGTAAAGAACGGCAATAAAACACCTAATCTTACTTTCTGTATGACCTGACTGGCATCAAATATATAAATAATAATATTCATAAAAATCTGATAGCATTATGACCCCCCCCCCTTAAAAGCACAAATACATCAGGTGGATGAAAATGGTCTTAAAAATTGACAAGCTGAAGAGTGAGACACTTGTGCAACATTTGGTGATCTTTACTGAGAAAATATTTCGCCAGCCAGTGAAGTAATCAGGGACTGATTACCTCGTACTCTTCATCTTCCTCTGTTATTCTGTGTACTGGACTGAAGAAGCCACTGGCTGGCAAAACATTTCCTCAATAAAGATTCCCAAATGTTGCACAAGCATGTCATTGTTCAACTTCGGGTGGAAATATTTTTATTACAATCATGGGGAAGCACTAAACCTGTAAGGGGGATCATACAGCAGCTAGAGGTAACAGAAGGCATTCTGGCTCAATACAAGAAATTGGAGCACAGATCCAAATCCTTGGATCAAAAATTAAGGTGGAAATAGGAAGCCAGGACCTATACAATGCCCTTCACAGTGCCTTTATGCTGGTGAAGGGATCTTGATCCAAAGAATTAGGGCTACCCTCCCTCTCCCTCAATCAAACCCAATTACTTTCCATTCCTCAGGTACAGTGAAAACAAAAAAAAAAAAAAAAAATACACAAATGCAGTATGTAGATAAACGATTCAGAGAACCAACAAGTTGATAAATCAGATACATGTGCAACACTTGGGTATCTTTACTGTGGAAACGTTTCACCACACAGTGACTTCATCAGTCCTATACAAGAAGAATGGTGACTATCAGAAGGAGTTTGAGGTACTGTATTTCATGGCTTAAAAGACGTTTTAATTTCAATGGTTCAGCAGTGAACATAACTGGGAGAGCTACAACCCATTTCACACCCCAAACTTATAGCTCCTGTCACTGACCTTCAGTTTATAGGACGCAGGATGGTTTTTGGAGACATTTTATGGGAAAAATGCATCTAATAAGCTGCAAAATACAGTAATCAGTCCCTCAGCCTGGAGTAAATGTCATCAGTCCATCAATCATTCTTTTCAAGATCGATGATTATGACTCCAGGTTGAGGGACTGATTACCTCCATCTCTTGATTGTTACCATTCTTCTTTATATAGGACTGATGAAGCCACTGTGTGGGCGAAACGTTGTCAATAAATGATCGCATTATATTGCTTTTGTGTATTTTTCCATCATGTCAATATTTTATACCATTTATCTCCCCAGATAATGAACCTGAGTTTAACAAACCTGCAGGAAATATTTTCCACTTTTCTTCCACAGAGGGGAAGCACTAAACCTGTAGGGCTACTACAACACCTGGGGAATGGGAAGCAATGGAATTAGATCCAAGAAAGGGGAGCAAAGTTCAATTCCTTGGATCAAGAGCCTCTCACCAGCATCAAGGACCTCCCCTATGGGGAAAAAATAATACACATCAATGCATACACATCAATTATATATACACACACTACCACAGAGGTGTATATGGGAGCACGATTTATCTCAGTAATACGTAGGGAAGCGCTAAATTCGTAGGAGTAACACTACACCTTGGGGATGGCAAGGGCAAAGCTCAGTCCAAGGAAGGGGAGGTTAACTCCAGTTCCTAGGATCAAAAGCCCTTCCGTGGCATCAAGGCACCTCCCCGAAGGAAACAAGGACACAAATATCACTAAAATTGCACAAAAAAACAAGAAATAAACTACCGGGCCAAGGAAGCAAGCGTCAGCTGCCTCCTGTACTCTTTTAAGACAACAATTCCTTATCTACGCTAAATTATTCCTTAATTTTCAATCTCACCCCAAGATGAAGAGTTATTTAAGGCAGTGATGTACTAATACGGTGGAGGTGGACACTATTAACGAGTCAATTAAGGTAATTTGGTCGGGGGAAGCTAACAACTCAGCGTTCGTAAGTAGCGTGGAAGTTACTGGTAGACGTTTGGCTGTAAACAATTATGCATTAATGTGGAAATACAAGTATCTTTGATAGTAAATTACATAGAAAAAATTCAAATCCTCAATTATAAATTACCTTATTTACTTGTTAAATTGGAATTCAATGGATAATTAAATTTTTGGCTAATCTTGAATGGTGATGTTTACAGCAGTTATACTTGTTTACCTTTTATTTTAATAACTAAAAGAACACTTATTACTAAATATTTCCCTTTATTGGCGGCCTCACATTACTAATAATAATAACTTTGCCTGCATACATTATTTTTAAGGGTACAACTGAAGGGCAGCAGCTGGTGGGTTGTAATGGTGTTGGAAGCGGCAGAAAGAATAAAGAGTATTGGATGTCATAAAAGAGGATCATAAGTGAGTAAAGGCAGATTATGAAGGATCAAGTCGCCAGGGAGGCGGGACGGACGTCAACAGGTTACTTCATCTATACTTTCATATGATTGTTGAGGGGAGCTGCCAGTCGGTACAAACATACCTGGAGAAATGGTGAGAAAATGGCATTTGTGGGCGTAATTGTGGAGGGGGAATGATTGTGGGGGTTGTAGCGGGGTGCGGCGCCCCCCTGGTGCCTGGTTGTTGGCTGGGGAGGTAGTTAAGTGAGGGTAGTAGTTTCTTGGCCGACTGTGACTACTTTGGGGTCTGTCCACCCCCTTTTTCACATAGTCGGTGTCTGTCATGTATTAGAATTGTATTAATTAATACACTTGGCACATAATATTGGAGGGAAGGTGAGGTTACATTAGTACTTGACTCCTCTGCTGGCGTTAAGTGAGGATGGTAGAAGATATTTATTACAACTCACTACTAGTACCTCATCACTCTTACTCATACTCTTATTACTACTACTATTACCACTGCTACTATTCTATGCCTTCCACTAACACTACTACCGTTACTGACTCTACTTCCACTACTACTAATATTACTATCTCTGCTTCCACTACTACTAATATTACTATCTCTGCTTCCACTACTAATATTACTATCTCTACTTTGACTACTACTAAAACTACTATCTCTACTTCAACTACTACTAAAACTACTATCTCTACTTCAACTACTACTAAAACTACTATCTCTACTTCAACTACTACTAAAACTACTATCTCTACTTCAACTACTACTAAAATTACTATCTCTACTTCTACTACTACTAAAATTACTATATCTACTTCCTACTTCCACTACTACTAGAATTACTATCTCTATACTTCCACTACTACTAAAACTACTATCTCTACTTCAACTACTACTAAAACTACTATCTCTACTTCAACTACTACTAAAACTACTATCTCTACTTCCACTACTACTAAAACTACTGTATCTACTTCCACTACTACTAAAATTACTATCTCTATACTTCCACTACTACTAAAATTACTATCTCTGCTTCCACTGCTACTAAAACTACTGTCTCTACTTCACTACTACTATTACTACTACCAGTCTCCTCTTCTCCCGCTCCCTCGTATACAGTCTGGTCTTCACTTCTCACCTCAGTGTTACTTGACAGTGGTTCAAGACAGGCTGAAATGGTATCAGAATTTTCATCTCCTGGGTGCAGGTTATTTATTTTGTCATTTTTTTTTTTTTGAGTTATTGTAGGTAAATTAGGCATGTTACTATACAAGACAGTTGTGATCATCAAAACTATGTGTAATTGTATCTAAATAAACTTGCTTAGGGTTACTTATTCCAAGATAATCCAAAAAGAGGCCACGTAAATGGTTTATTGTACATGTAGTAAATAAAGATATTATTATTATTATTATTATTATTATTATTATTATTATTATTATTATTATTTTATTATTATTTTTTTTATTAACACACTGGCCTATTCCCACCAAGGAAGGGTGGCCCAAAAAAGAAAATTTTTTACCATCATTTGCTCCATCACTGTCTTGCCAGAAGGGTGCTTTACACTACAGTTTTTAAACTGCAACATTAACACCCCTCCTTCAGAGTGCAGGCACTGTACTTCCCATCTCCAGGACTCAAGTCCGGCCTGCCGGTTTCCTTGAACCCCTTCATAAATGTTACTTTGCTCACACTCCAACAGCACGTCAAGTATTAAAAACCATTTGTCTCCATTCACTCCTATCAAACACGCTCAGGCATGCCCGCTGGAAGTCCAAGCCCCCTCGCACACAAAACCTCCTTTACCCCGTCCCTCCAACCTTTCGTAGGCCGACCCCTACCCCGCCTTCCTTCCGCTACAGACTGATACACTCTTGAAGTCATTCTGTTTTGCTCCATTCTCTCTACATGTCCGAACCACCTCAACAACCCTTCCTCAGCTCTCGGGACAACAGTTTTGGCAATCCTGCACCTCCTCCTAACTTCCAAACTACGATTTCTCTGCATTATATTCACACCACACATTGCCCTCAGACATGACATCTCCACTGTTTCCAGCCTTCTCCTTGCTGCAACATTCATCACCCATGCTTCACACCCATATAAGAGCGTTGGTAAAACTACTCTCTCATACATTCCCCTCTTTGCCTCCAAGGACAAAGTTCTTTGTCTCCACAGACTCCTAAGTGCACCACTCACCCTTTTCCCCTCATCAATTCTATGATTCACCTCATCTTTCATAGATCCATCCGCTGACACGTCCACTCCCAAATATCTGAATACATTCACCTCCTCCATACTCTCTCCCTCCAATCTGATATCCAATCTTTCATCACCTAATCTTTTTGTTATCCTCATAACCTTACTCTTTCCTGTATTCACTTTTAATTTTCTTCTTTTACATACCCTACCAAATTCATCCACCAACCTCTGCAACTTCCCTTCAGAATCTCCCAAGAGCACAGTGTCATCAGCAAAGAGCAATTGTGACAACTCCAACTTTATGTGTGATTCTTTATCTTTTAACTCCACGCCTCTTGCCAAGACCCTCGCATTTACTTCTCTTACGACACCATCTATAAATATATTAAAGCACCACGGTGATATCACACATCCTTGTCTAAGGCCTACTTTTACTGGGAAATAATCTCCCTCTTTCCTACATACTCTAACTTGAGCCTCACTATCCTCGTAAAAACTCTTCACTGCTTTCAGTAACCTACCTCCTATACCATACACTTGCAACATCTGCCACATTGCCCCCTATACACCCTGTCATATGCCTTTTCCAAATCCATAAATGCCACAAAAACCTCTTTGGCCTTATCTAAATACTGTTCACTTATATGTTTCACTGTAAACACCTGGTCCACACACCCCTACCTTTCCTAAAGCCTCCGTGTTCATCTGCTATCCTATTCTCCATCTTACTCTTAATTCTTTCAGTAATAACTCTACCATACACTTTACCAGGTATACTCAACAGACTTATCCCCCTATAATTTTTGCACTCTCTTTTGTCCCCTTTGCCTTTATACAAAGGAACTATGCATGCTCTCTGCCAATCCACAGGTACCTTACCCTCTTCCATACATTTATTAAATTATAGCACCAACCACTCCAAAACTATATCCCCACCTGCTTTTAACATTTCTATCTTTATCCCATCAATCCCTGCTGTTTTACCCCCTTTCATTTTACCTACTGCCTCACGAACTTCCCCCACACTCACAACTGGCTCTTCCTCACTCCTACAAGATGTTATTCCTCCTTGCCCTATGCACGAAATCACAGCTTCCCTATCTTCATCAACATTTAACAATTCCTCAAAATATTCCCTCCATCTTCCCAATACCTCTAACTCTCCATTTAATAACTCTCCTCTCCTATTTTTAACTGACAAATCCATTTGTTCTCTAGGCTTCCTTAGCTTGTTAATCTCACTCCAAAATTTTTTCTTATTTTCAACAAAATTTGTTGATAGCATCTCACCCACTCTCTCATTTGCTCTCTTTTTACATTGCTTCACCACTCTCTTAACCTCTCTCTTTTTCTCCATATACTTTTCCCTCCTTGCATCACTTCTACTTTGTAAAAACTTCTCATATGCTAACTTTTTCTCCCTTACTACTCTCTTTACATCATCATTCCACCAATCGCTCCTCTTCCCTCCCGCACCCACTTTCCTATAACCACAAACTTCTGCTGAACACTCTAACTCAACATTTTTAAACCTACCCCATACCTCTTTGACCCCATTGCCTATGCTCTCATTAGCCCATCTATCCTCCAATAGCTGTTTATATCTTACCCTAACAGCCTCCTCTTTTAGTTTATAAACCTTCACCTCTCTCTTCCCTGATGCTTCTATTCTCCTTGTATCCCATCTACCTTTTACTCTCAGTGTATCTATAACTAAAAAGTGATCTGATATATCTGTGGCCCCACTATAAACATGTACATCCTGAAGCCTACTCAACAGTCTTCTATCTACCAATACATAATCCAACAAACTACTGTCGTTTTGCCATACATCATATCTTGGATACTTATTTATTCTCTTTTTCTTAAAATATGTATTACCTATAACTAAACCTTTTTCTATACAAAGTTCAATCAAAGGGCTCCCATTATCATTTACACCTGTCACCCGAAACTTACCTACCACACCCTCTCTAAAAGTTTCTCCCACTTTAGCATTCAGGTCCCCTACCACAATTACTCTCTCACTTGGTTCAAAGGTTCCTATACATTCACTTAACATCTCCCAAAATCTCTTTCTCTCCTCTACATTCCTCTCTTCTCCAGGTGCATACATGCTTATTATGACCCACTTTTCACATCCAACCTGTTCTTTAATCCACATAATCCTTGAATTTATACATTCATATTCTCTTTTATCCTTCCATAACTGATCCTTCAACATTATTGCTATCCCTTCCTTAGATCTAACTCTCTCAGATACTCCAGATTTAATCCCATTTATTTTCCCCCCACCGAAACTCCCCTACACCCTTCAGCTTTGTTTCGCTTAGGGCCAGGACATTCAACTTCTTTTCATTCATAACATCAGCAATCATCTGTTTCTTGTCATCCGCACTACATCCACGCACATTCAAGCATCCCAGTTTTATAAAGTTTTTCTTCTCTTTTTTAGTAAATGTGTACAGGAGAAGGGGTTACTAGCCCATTGCTCCCAGCATTTTAGTCGCCTCATACGACACGCTTATTATTATTAATATTATTATTATTATTATTATTATTATTATTATTATTATTATTATTATTATTATTATTATTATTATTATTATTATTATTATTATTATTACAATTGCTGCTGCATGGCTCAATTGCTTAGCATTTCCCCATGAAAATAATTTTTTTATTGATATTTTGATTATATTCACTATAGTGTTTTTAATAGAGATTATATATTTCCACCTTTCCTGTGGGAGTTGTAGATGGTACTGTTGCCTCTGGTGTAGACAGAGAATGGTTACAAATAATTTTTCCAATGTTTTACGTACAATAGGAAATGTTCAGTGTCTTATGCTAAAATATATTTTAATGTGCAATTTCCTTTTCAGAGCTTTTTTGGGTTCGGCCAAAGTGCCGACATTGAAATCCAGCTGGATGGATCTGATACCCGAAAAATGGCAGAGATGAAAACAGAAGATGGCAAGAAAGAGCGCTATTTTCTTTATTATGATGGAGAAAGTGTTTCTGGAAAGGTTTGTAAATTGCACATACACTGAGCTAATGATAATCACTTCCTTTTAGGAGCTCAATCTTATTTTAATACAGTGGAACCTCAAAAATCAAACTGCTCCCAACACAACCAATTATGTAAGTGTATTTTTGTAAGTGCTTTTATAAGCGTATTTTTGAGGGTCTGAAATGGACTAATCTAATTTACATTACTCCTGATGGGAATAAATTAATTCGGTAAAGGCACTCGATCAGCCTTCTGGACTGAAGAAAGTTCGATATTTGAGGTTCCACTGTATTTGTTTTGGTAAAAGCTTTTGTATTCATTCATTACAATGGAAGGATGCAGGAGTTACCTCAGAGCCTGTAACTGCTGTCTTTATAAAGAAATCTAGACACAGTAACATAGAATGATATCCTTGATAAAATAACAGTTTGCTTTGGAGACCAAGCTTTTGTAATTTATCAAGAAAATCACACTTTAGAACATAGTCAACTCATGACAACAAGAGTTGACAATGGAAACCTCATGATGGCATAAGTTGACAGTGGAAACCTCATGATGGCCTGAGTTGACAGTGGAAACCTTATGATGGCATAAGTTGACAGTGGAAACCTCATGATGGCATGAGTTGACAGTGGAAACCTTATGACAGCATGAGTTGACAGTGGAAACCTCATGATGGCATGAGTTGACAGTGGAAACCTTATGATGGCATGAGTTAATAGTGGAAACCTCATGATAGCATGAGTTGACAGTGTTCCAGGAAGGACTGAAATGTCATCATAAGGTCCCTCTCCTATGTGTGGGCTTCTGCTGATTTGTTCCAGTCGTGCTATTGCGACTTTTATTCTTTAAGCTTTTAGAAATTGTAGACTTGAAAAACCTTGATGTCCAAACAGAATGTTGTCTTGTTGAGGTTTACATTTTATCATATTCCTTTCAGAGTGTCAATGTTACAACCTCATTCCCAACTTAGGCTGGGCATAAAGCTGTGTGTGAGCACAAACAAAAAGAATGAGATGAGTACTGTTTCATATTTCTACTAAAGAAGTGTAAGGCACACATTGATCAGATAAAAGGCTCTTATTTTTTTTTTATTATCACACTGGCCGATTCCCACCAAGGCAGGGTGGCCCAAAAAAGAAAAACTTTCACCATCATTCACTCCATCACTGTCTTGCCAGAAGGGTGCTTTACACTACAGTTTTTAAACTGAAACATTAACACCCCTCCTTCAGAGTGCAGGCACTGTACTTCCCATCTCCAGGACTCAAGTCCGGCCTGCCGGTTTCCCTGAACCCCTTCATAAATGTTACTTTGCTCACACTCCAACAGCACGTCAAGTATTAAAAACCATTTGTCTCCATTCACTCCTATCAAACACGCTCACGCATGCCTGCTGGAAGTCCAAGCCCCTCGCCCCCAAGCCTCCAGGACTTGAGTCCTGGAAATGGGAAGTACAGTGCCTGCACTTTAAAGGAGGGGTTTGGGATATTGGCAGTTTGGAGGGATATGTTGTGTATCTTTATACGTATATGCTTCTAAACTGTTGTATTCTGAGCACCTCTGCAAAAGCAGTGATAATGTGTGAGTGTGGTGAAAGTGTTGAATGATGATGAAAGTATTTTCTTTTTGGGGATTTTCTTTCTTTTTTGGGTCACCCTGCCTCGGTGGGAGACGACCAACTTGTTGAAAAAAAAAAAAAAAAAAGGTCTGTTGAGTATACCTGGCAAAGTGTATGGTAGAGTTATTATTGAAAGAATTAAGAGTAAGACGGAGAATAGGATAGCAGATGAACAAAGAGGCTTTAGGAAAGGTAGGGGGTGTGTGGACCAGGTGTTTACAGTGAAACATATAAGTGAACAGTATTTAGATAAGGCTAAAGAGGTCTTTGTGGCATTTATGGATTTGGAAAAGGCGTATGACAGGGTGGATAGGGGGGCAATGTGGCAGATGTTGCAGGTGTATGGTGTAGGAGGTAGGTTACTGAAAGCAGTGAAGAGTTTTTACGAGGATAGTGAGGCTCAAGTTAGAGTATGTAGGAAAGAGGGAAATTTTTTCCCAGTAAAAGTAGGCCTTAGACAAGGATGTGTGATGTCACCGTGGTTGTTTAATATGTTAAATGATCAGTTATGGAAGGAGAAAGAGAATATGAATGTGTAAATTCAAGAATTATGTGGATTAAAGTAAAGGTTGGATGCGAGAAGTGGGTCATAATAAGCGTGTATGTACCTGAAGAAGAGAGGAATGCAGAGGAGAGAGAGAGATTTTGGGAGATGTTAAGTAAATGTATAGGAGCCTTTGAACCAAGCGAGAGAGTAATTGTGGTAGGGGACCTGAATGCTAAAGTAGGAGAAACTTTTAGAGAGGGTGTGGTAGGTAAGTTTGGGGTGCCAGGTGTAAAAAGATAATGGAGCCCTTTGATTGAACTTTGTATAGAAAGGGGTTTAGTTATAGGTAATACATATTTTAAGAAAAAGAGGATAAATAAGTATACAAGATATGATGTAGGGCGAAATGACAGTAGTTTGTTGGATTATGTACTGGTAGATAAAAGACTGTTGAGTAGACTTCAGGATGTACATGTTTATAGAGGGGCCACAGATATATCAGATCACTTAATAGTTGTAGCTACACTGAGAGTAAAAGGTAGATGGGATACAAGGAGAATAGAAGCATCAGGGGAGAGAGAGGTGAAGGTTATAAACTAAAAGAGGAGGCAGTTAGGGTAAGATATAAAACAGCTATTGGAGGGTAGATGGGCTAATGAGAGCATAGGCAATGGGGTCGAAGAGGTATGGGGTAGGTTTTAAAAATGTAGTGTTAGAGTGTTCAGCAGAAGTTTGTGGTTACAGGAAAGTGGGTTGCAGGAGGGAAGAGGAGCGATTGGTGGATGATGATGTAAAGAGAGTAGTAAGGGAGAAAAAGTTAGCATATGAGAAGTTTTTACAAAGTAGAAGTGATGCAAGGAGGGAAGGGTATATATAGAAAAAGAGAGAGGTTAAGAGAGTGGTGAAGCAATGTAAAAAGAGAGCAAATGAGAGAGTGGGTGAGATGTTATCAACAAATTTTGTTGAAAATAAAAAAAAGTTTTGGAGTGAGATTAACAAGTTAAGAAAGCCTAGAGAACAATGTATTTGTCAGTTAAAAATAGGAGAGGAGAGTTATTAAATGGAGAGTTAGAGGTATTGGGAAGATGGAGGGAATATTTTGAGGAATTGTTAAATGTTGATGAAGATAGGAAAGCTGTGATTTCGTGTATAGGACAAGGAGGAATAACATCTTGTAGGAGTGAGGAAGAGCCAGTTGTGAGTGTGGGGGAAGTTCGTGAGGCAGTAGGTAAAATGAAAGGGGGTAAGGCAGCCGGGATTGATGGGATAAAGATAGAAATGTTAAAAGCAGGTGGGGATATAGTTTTGGAGTGGTTGGTGCAATTATTTAATAAATGTATGGGAGAGGGTAAGGTACCTAGGATTGGCAGAGAGCATGCATAGTTCCTTTGTTTTAAAGGCAAAGGGGATAAAAGAGAGTGCAAAAATATAGGGGGATAAGTCTGCTGATTTTACCTGGGAAAGTGTATGGTAGAGTTATTATTGAAAGAATTAAGAGTAAGACGGAGAATAGGATAGCAGATGAACAAGGAGGCTTTAGGAAAGGTAGGGGATGTGTGGACCAGGGGTTTACAGTGAAACATATAAGTGAACAGTATTTAGATAAGGCTAAAGAGGTCTTTGTGGCATTTATGGATTTGGAAAAGGCGTATGACAGGGTGGATTGGGGGGCAATGTGGCAGATGTTGCAAGTGTATGGTGTAGGAGGTAGGTTACTGAAAGCAGTGAAGAGTTTTTACGAGGATAGTGAGGCTCAAGTTAGAGTATGTAGGAAAGAGGGAAATTTTTTTCCCAGTAAAAGTAGGCCTTAGACAAGGATGTGTGATGTCACCGTGGTTGTTTAATATATTTATAGATGGGGTTGTAAGAGAAGTAAATGCGAGGGTCTTGGCAAGAGGCGTGGAGTTAAAAGTTAAAGAATCACACACAAAGTGGGAGTTGTCACAGCTGCTCTTTGCTGATGACACTGTGCTCTTGGGAGATTCTGAAGAGAAGTTGCAGAGATTGGTGGATGAATTTGGTAGGGTGTGCAAAAGAAGAAAATTAAAGGTGAATACAGGAAAGAGTAAGGTTATGAGGATAAAAAGATTAGGTGATGAAAGATTGAATATCAGATTGGAGGGAGAGGTATGGAGGAGGTGAATGTATTCAGATATTTGGGAGTGGATGTGTCAGCGGATGGGTCTTATGAAAGATGAGGTGAATCATAGAATTGATGAGGGAAAAGAGTGAGTTGTGCACTTAGGAGTCTGTGGGACAAAGAACTTTGTCCTTGGAGGCAAAGAGGGAATGTATGAGAGTATAGTTTTTACCAACGCTCTTATATGGGTGTGAAGCATGGGTGATGAATGTTGCAGCGAGGAGAAGGCTGGAGGCAGTGGAGATGTCATGTCTGAGGGCAATGTGTGGTGTGAATATAATGCAGAGAATTCGTAGTTTGGAAGTTAGGAGGAGGTGCGGGATTACCAAAACTGTTGTCCAGAGGGCTGAGAAGGGTTGTTGAGGTGGTTCGGACATGTAGAGAGAATGGAGCGAAACAGAATGACTTCAAGAGTGTATCAGTCTGTAAGTGGAAGGAAGGCGGGGTAGGGGTCGGCCTAGGAAAGGTTGGAGAGAGGGGGTAAAGGAGGTTTTGTGTGCGAGGGGCTTGGACTTCCAGCAGGCATGCGTGAGCGTATTTGATAGGAGTGAATGGAGACAAATGGTTTTTAATACTTGACGTGCTGTTGGAGTGTGAGCAAAGTAACATTTATGAAGGGGTTCAGGGAAACCGGCAGGCCGGACTTGAGTCCTGGAGATGGGAAGTACAGTGCCTGCACTCTGAAGGAGGGGTGTTAATGTTGCAGTTTAAAAACTGTAGTGTAAAGCACCCTTCTGGCAAGACAGTGATGGAGTGAATGATGGTGAAAGTTTTTCTTTTTTGGGCCACCCTGCCTTGGTGGGAATCGGCCAGTGTGATAATAAAATAAAATAAGGGCTACTTTCCTCTAAGCCCTAAGGTCAGACCTGATTACCTATCATTCCAGTGGCTCCTATGGATTTAGCATTTCAATATAATAATAGTATTAATAATCTAAGTAGCCCAGGATAACCGATACTGGTTTAGCTCGTTTTTTTACTATAGTAATAATTTTTGTTTTTAACATGTTCACCTTTCCCACTGAGGCAGGGTGACCCAAAGAGAAAGAAAAACTCAAAAAGAAAGAATAAACTTTCATCATCATTCATCATTTTCACTATCACTCATACATAATCACTGTCTTTACAGAGGCACTTAGATACAACAGTTTAGATGTCCCTCTAAACTGTGAATATCCCAAACTCCTCCTTTAAAGTGCAGGCATTGTCCTTCCCACTTCCAGGATTCAAGTCTAGCTAACCGGTTACCCTGAATCCCTTCACAAAATATTACTCTGCCCACACTCCAACAGCTGGTCAGGTCACAAAAACCATTTGTCTCCACTCCTATCTAACATGCTCATGCAAGCTTGATGGAAGTCCAAGTCCCTCTCCCACAAAACTACCTTTACCTCCTCCCTCCAACCTTTTCGAGGACGACCCCTACTCCACCTTCCATCCCCTACAGATTTATATGCTCTGCAGGTCATTCTATTTTGTTCCATTCTCTCTAAATGAGCAAACCACCTCAACAACCCCTCCTCAGCCCTCTGAATAATACTTTTAGTAGCTCCACACCTCCTGATTTCCACACTCTGAATTCTGTGCATAATATTTACACCACACATTGCCCTTAGACAAGACATCTCCACTGCCTCCAGCCTCCTCCTTGCTGCAGCATTTACAATCCATGCTTTACACCCATATAAGAGTATTGGTACCACTGTACTTTTGTACATTCCCTTCTTTGTCTCCATGGGTTATGTTTTTTGTCTCCACAGATACCTCAACGTACCACTCACCTTTTTTCCTTCAATTCTCTGGTTAACCTTATCTTTCATAAACCCATCTGCTGACAAGTCAACTCCCAATTATCTGAACACATTCACTTCTTTCATACTCCCTCCCTCCAATGTGATATCTAATTTTTTCTCTCTAAATCATTTGATACCCTCATCACCTTACTCTTATCTATGTTCACTTTCAGCTTTCTACCTTTACACACCCTCCTAAACTTGTCCGTTAACCTTTGCAACTTTTCTCTAGAATCTCCCAAAAGCACAGTATCATCAGCAAAGAAGTAACTGTGTCAACTCCCATTTTGTATTTGATTCCCCATATTTTAATCCCACCCCTCTCCCCAACTCCCTAGCTTTTACTTTTTTTACAACCCCATCTATAAATATGTTAAACAGCCATGATGACATTACATATCCCTGTCTAAGACCTACTTTTACTGTGAAATATTCTCTCTCTCCTACACACCCTAACCTGAACCTCACTATCTGCATAAAAACTCTTTACAACATTTAGTAACTTACTATCTGTTCCATACACTTGCAACAGCTGCCACATTGCTCCCTTATCCACTCTGTCATATGCCTTCTCTAAATCCATAAATGCAATGAAAACTTCCCTACCTTTATCTAAATACTGTTCACATATATGCTTCAATGTAAACACCTGATCTACACATCCCCTACCCATTCTAAAGCCTTCTTGTTCATCTGCAATACTGCTCTCTGTCTTACTCTAATTCTTTTAGTAATAACTCTACCATACACTTTACCTGGTTTACTCAGTAAACTTCACCTATAATTTTTACAATTTCTTTTGTCCCCCTTCCCTTATATGAAGGAACTATACCTGCTTTCTGCCAATTCCCAAGTTCCTTCCCCTCATTCATACATTTATTAAACAAAAATGCCAACCTCTTCAACACTATATCTCCCCCTGCTTTTAACATTTCTGTCATGATCCCGTCAGTTCCAGCTGCTTTACCTCTTTTCATTCTACGTAATGCCTCATGCACCTCCCCCACACTCACATCCTGTTCTTCATTCATAAAAGATATTGTACCTCCCTGGCCAGTACGTACATGGAATTACTGCCTGCCTTTCTTTAACCCTTTCAGGGTCCAAGGCCCAAATCTGGAGTCACGCACCAGTGTCCAAGAATTTTCAAAAAAAAAATTTGTATTTTTTCTTATGAAATCGTAGAGAATCTTTTTGTGAAGGTAATAAAACAAAAAGTACGAAATTTGGTGGAAAATTGACGAAATTATGCTCTCGCGAATTTTGATGTGTCAGCGATATTTACGAATCGGCGATTTTGCCGACTTTGACTCCCATTTTAGGCCAATTACATTATTCCAATCAACCAAATTCTTAGCTATTTCACTAGTATTACTTCTATTCTATCGATTGAGCACAAGAAATCGCCAAGTCAACTGTTTCAACTACAAAATAAAGTGATCGGAAATTGTTAATTTGGCCAATTTAACACAAAGTTCAAAAATTCCAATTTCAAAATAGGGTCCAGAATAAACAATGTAGGCATTCCTGGCACTAAACTAACATTTCCTCTGTTCATTAGTTATGTTTTGAGGCTTTACAAATAAATTCCATTTTGATTTTTTATTCACATAATGAATTTTTATTCACACCAAAAAATAGAAGATTTAGTGTTATGCAATACTGTAATAATTGTATAAATATCATCACCATATTTGTGAATGTATATTAGACCCACCAGCTGATGTGTATTAGATGTGTGAGGTCGTTTGTTTACTCTTGAATATCGGCAAAAATTTAACATTTCCGCTACTTTGAGCTCAGTTTCAAGCCATTTCCAGTGCTAAAACCAATCAAAATCATCTCTATTTCTGTAATATGTCTTCCATTCTATCAAATGAGACCAAGAAATCGCAAATACAACTATAAAAAACATACGAAAAAACACTGCAAAGTTGCTGTTTTAATCGAAAAATCATGACTTCAGTTTTTTTCTCTAATTATACACAGTGTGCTGCAGGATCTGTTTTATGTGGTGCACACATACCACATAGATGTATTCTCTCATATCTAGGCCCAAATGTACCACTCACAGTTTATCAGAGTGAGCTGAGCTCATGGCGTAGATCTACGGTTTGGACACTCACCGTAAAGCCGTAGATCTACGGGACGGACCCTGAAAGGGTTAACTCTTAAATGGTCCATACGTATATATACTTTTTTTCAACTTCTGAAATTATGTAAAAAAATGTAGATCTTCTTTTTTGTTTTACATGTGAAAACGTGTAAAAAAAACTTTTATCTACATTTTTTTTTGTTATATTTGAAAATATGTAAAAAAAAGTAGATCTACTTTTGTAGCACTACGAATTTGAACGTCGATCTGTTTGGACCGTTTAAGGGTTAAAATTTAAAAGTTCCTGAAAATATTCCTGCCATCTACCCAATACTCCAGGTTCCTATCTACTAACTCCCTTACTCTGTTTTTATCTGACAAATTCATTTGTCCCTTAGTCTTTCTTGACCTGTTTATCACACTCCAGAATTTTTTCTTATTCTTAGCAAAATTTGTTGATAATTATAATATATAAATAATAATAATAATAATAATAATAAAATAATAATAATAATAATAATAATAATAATAATAATTATAATAATAACAATAATAATAACAATAATGGACTGTTGGTAGGCATATGTGCAATTTACTAAACTGAGTGTGTTAGAAGGAGCTACTTTTATTGCTGGTAGCTGGTAATTACAATTTTGGGGTGTGTATTTATTGTTCATTTCTCTTTTTTTCATAAAAATCTTAAAACTGAGACTTCATTTGATTCCTGTTTGTTTACAGGTGAATGTTGCCCTCAAAAAACCTGGAGGACGTTTGGAACACCAAGGTGTGAAAATAGAATTTGTTGGGCAAATTGAGCTCTACTATGACCGAGGTAATCACCATGAATTCACATCTCTGGTGAAGGAGCTAGCAAGGCCTGGAGAACTTACACACAATACCACCTTTGACTTCGAGTTTAATCAGGTGGAGAAGCCTTACGAGTCATATTCTGGCACTAATGTTAGACTAAGGTAAATGATGACGTTTTCACTTACTGTGGCATAACATTGTAATTTCTGTTACAAATCAAAGATACACAGGAAGAGCACACCTTTATTAAAAGTGATGTTCAGCTCAATGAGATCTTTACCAAGTCATCTTGGAAAAACATGAGCAGAGCATTTCTTTAATAAAAGCTTAGTATTTGATTTCTATTACCATTAACCCTTTCAGGGTCGACAGGCCCTCTCCCAGACTTGTTCTCAGGGTCGACAATTTAAAAAAAAAAAAAAAAAAAATTCTTATGAAAAGATAAAGAATCTTTTCCCGATCATAATGACACCAAAAGTATGAAATTTGATGAAAACTTAGGGAATTATGCTCTCGCGAAGTTAGCGGTCTCGACAATGTTTACGCATCGGCAATTTTGCCCACATTGAGCCCTATTTTTGGGCCAGTTCCAGTGTACTAGTCGACAAAAATCAAAACTATTTCGCTAGAATTTCATTTTTTCTATCGAATGAGTACAAGAAACCACCCATTTACCGATATCAACTGTCCAATAAAGTGGTCAGAATTTAGCAATTTTGACAATTTCACACAAATTTCAAAAGATGCCAATTTTTAAATGAGGTCCAGAATAAACAAGAAAGACATTCCTGGCACTAAAATAACATTTCCTCTGTTCGTTAGTCATGTCCCCAGGCCCCTCTTACATTCTTTTGCTTTTCACTTTGAATTATTTTTATTCTCACAAAAAAATAGAAGATTTACTGTTATGCAGACTACTGCATTAGTGTAGAAAATTGGTATAAATAATATCAGCACACTTGTGAAAGAATATTAGACTCACCAGTTGATGTGTATTGGACACGTAGCATGATTTGTTTACTTTTGAACTTTGGCAAAAATTGAAGATTTCTGCTATTTTGAGCTCAATTTCAAGGTACTTTTCATTGTAAAACCAATCAAAATTATCTCAGTTTCTGTAATATGTCTTCCATTCTAGAAAATGAGACCAGGAAAACTAGAAAACCGTCATAAATACCATACGAAAATACAGTGCAAAGTCGCTGTTTTAACCCTTAAAAGGTCCAAACAAATCGACGTTCAAATTCGTAGTGCTACAAAAGTAGATCTACTTTTTTTAACATTTCCAAATGTAACAAAAAAAATGTAGATGAAAGTTTTTTTTACACGTTTTCAAATGTAAAACAAAAAAGATCTACATTTTTTTACATACTTTCAGATGTTGAAAAAACGTATATATACGTTTGGGCCATTTAAGGGTTAAACCAAAAACAGTCAAAGTTTTTTTTTCTCATTATGCACTGTGTGCTGCAGGATTTTTTTTTATACTGTGAACACTGACCACATAGACCCATTCTTTCATATGTAGGCCTACCGCTTTCTCTCACTAGATTTGAGGGCTCTAGAATTTAGGCGTACTAGTACGTCAAAAACCCTGGTGCATAAGCCGTACTAGTACGTCAGAAACCCTGAAAGGGTTAATCCTCTTCAGCACCTTATTAATAACCTCTTTATTTATATGTGTCTTTTACATATACACCAGATTCATATAATCCCTCATTCTACTATTTTCATAAGAGCTATGTTCAGAGTTTATAATCTTTGTAGGAAAAATTCCTGATGAGGGAGCTAATTTCTCTTCCTTCCCTGTATTTCTCAGTGCATTTATGTCCTCTGTTGTGGAAACCAGAACTGTGCTGGATAGACCCATGTGAGGTCTTAACAATGATTGAGTTGTATATTATTATTATTATTAACACATCAGCCATTTCCCACTAAGGCAGGGTGGCCTGAAAAAATAAAGCTTTCATCATTCATGCTTACGCTACAGTTATAAAACTGCAACATTAACACCCCTCCTTTAGAGTGCAGATACTGTACTTCCCATCTCCAGGACTCAAGTCTGGCCTTCCGGTTTCCCTGAATCCCTTCATAAATGTTACCTTGCTCATACTCCAACAGCATGTCAAGTCCTAAGTCTAAACATTTGGGTTTATCCCTGTAATCTAGTTTACATGTAGTCAAGCTCAAAGAATAAAAGCCACAATACTGTCATGGAACTTTTTTTTTTTTTTTCTTTTTTATTAACAAGTCGGCCGTCTCCCACTGAGGCAGGGTGACCCAAAAAGAAAGAAAATCCCCAAAAAGAAAATACTTTCATCATCATTCAGCACTTTCACCTCACGCACACACAGTCACTGTTTTTGCAGAGGTGCTCAGAACACAACAGTTTAGAAGCATATACGTATAAAGATACACAACATATCCCTCCAAACCGCTAATATCCCGAACCCCTCCTTTAGAGTGCGGTCATTGTACTTCCCATTTCCAGGACTCAAGTCCGGCTATTCAAAAATAACCGGTTTCCCTGAATCCCTTCACTAAATATTACCCTGCTCACACTCCAACAGATCGTCAGGTCCCAAATACCATTTGTCTCCATTCACTCCTATCGAACACGCTCATGCACGTCTGCTGGAAGTCCAAGCCCCTCGCCCACAAAACCTCCCCTACCCCTTCCAACCTTTTCGAGGATGACCCCTACCCCGCCTTCCTTCCCCTATAGATTTATATGCTCTCCATGTCATTTAGTACCTTCCCCTCTTTCATACATTTATTAAACAAAAATACCAACCACTCCAACACTATATCCCCCCTGTTTTTAACATTTCTGTCATGATCCCGTCAGTTTCAGCTGCTTTACCCCCTTTCATTCTATGTAATGCCTCACGCACCTCCCTCACACTCACATCCTGTTCTTCTTCACTCTTAAAAGATGGTATACCTCCCTGGCCAGTGCATGAAATTACCGCTTCCCTTTCTTTGTTGACATTTAAAAGTTCCTCAAAATATTCTCGCCATCTATCCAAAACCTCCATCTCCCCATCTACTAACTCCCCTACTCTGTTGTTAGCTGACATCCATTCATTCTCTAGGCTTTCTAAACTTGTTTAACTCCAAAAATTTTTCTTATTTTCATTAAAATTCCTTGACAGTGGCTCTCCCACACTATCATCTGCTCTCCTTTTGCACTCTCTCACCACTCTCTTCACCGTTCTTTTACTCTCCATATACTCTACTCTTCTTATAACACTTCTGCTTTGTAAAAACCTCCCATAAGCTAACTTTTTCTCTTTTATCACACCCTTTACTTCATCATTCCACCAATTACTCCTCTTTCCTCCTGCACCCACCTTCCTTTTTACAGTGAATATTTTTAATTGTTAGCTTTTTCTTTACAAACCTTTCACACACACTTGAAATACAGTCTTCATTTTGTATTTGCTTCATTTACAGATACTTTTTAAGAGTAACAATTGTAAGAAGATTGTCAGACATTGCACGGGAAATGGATTTGCTTGTACATACGCTTTCATCCTACCCTGAGATGAACAACTCTATCAAAATGGAAGTTGGTATTGAAGATTGCCTACATATTGAATTTGAATACAACAAATCTAAGTAAGTACATATATAATTATTCAATAAATATATCAGCAGTTTGAATTTGTTTTTTGTCTAAGAAACTTCGGTTAGTCAGTGCATAATTACCTTCATCTTCTTGTGGTTCTTAATAGTTTTCATTACTGTAATACTTGCTTAGCTTTGATATGGGATTGCTCCATGGATGTTATGGGCTCCATTTTTGAAATGTTAAAGTGCCGTGAATGGAGTATCAAACGTGTCATTGTAGGGTTACATATCATTAATTCACACGGAAAACTAAAAAAACAAAGAATTACATTATACAGTACAGTATCAGTTTTTCATGTTTTCCTTCAATATTTTCTTATCTCTTCTTTCAACAAACTGGCCGTATCCCACCGAGGCGGGGTGGCCCAAAAGGAAAAACGAAAGTTTCTCCTTTTAAATTTAATAATATATACAGGAGAAGGGGTTACTAACTCCTTGCTCCCAGCATTTTAGTTGCCTCTTACGACACACATGGCTTAGGGAGAAAGAATTCTGTTCCACTTCCTCCATGGAGATAAGCAGAAATAAACAAGAACAAGAACTAATAAGATAGAGGTAAGACAGAGAGTAGGATTTCAGATGAGCAAGGAGGCTTTAGAGTGGGTAAGGGATGTGTAGATCAAATGTTTACATTGAAGCATATATGTGAACAGTATTTAGATAACGGTAGGGAAGTTTTAATTGCATTTATGGATTCAGAAAAGGCATGTGATAGAGTGGATAGGGGAGCAATATGGCAGATGTTCAAGTATATGGAATAGGTGGTAAGTTACTAAATGCTGTAAAGAGTTTTTATGAGGATAGTGAGGCTCAGGTTAGGGTGTGTAGAAGAGAGGGAGACTACTTCCCAGTAAAAGTAGGTCTTAGACAGGGATGTGTAATGTCATCATGGTTATTTAATATATTTATAGATGGGGTTGTAAAAGAAGTAAAAGCTAGGGTGTTGGGTAGAGGGGTGGGATTAAATTATGGGGATTTAAATATAAAATGGGAGTTGACACAGTTACTTTTTGCTGATGATACTGTGCTTATGGGAGAATCTAAAAAGCTGCAAAAGTTAGTGGACGAGTTTGGGAGAGTGTGTAAAGGTAGATAGTTGAAAGTGAACATAGATAAGAGTAAGGTGATGAGAGTATAAAATGATTTAGATAAAGAAAAATTGGATGTCACATTGGAGAGAGGGATTATGGAAGAAGTGAATGTTTTCAGATATTTGGGAGTTGACGTGTCGGCGGATGGGCTTATGAAGGATGATGGTTAACCATAGAATTGATGAAGGAAAAAAGGTGAGTGGTGTGTTGAGGTATCTGTGGTGACAAAAAAGTGTTATCCATGGAGACAAAGAAGGGAATGTACGAATGTATAGTGGTACCAACACTTCTATATGGGTGTGAAGCTTGGGTTGCAAGTGCTGCAGCAAGGATTCAGCTGTAGGCAGTGGAGATGTTCTGTCTAAGGGCAATGTGTGGTGTAAACATTATGCAGAGAATTCGGAGTGTGGAAATTAGGAGGAGGTGTGGAGTTACTAAAAGTATTAGTCATAGGGCTGAAGAGGGGTTGTTGAGGTGGTTTGGTCATTTAGAGAGAATGGATCAAAATAGAATGACCTGAAGAGTGTATAAATCTGTAGGGGAAGGCAGGCGAGGTAGGGGTCATCCTCAAAAAGGTTGGAGGAAGAGGGTAAGGGAGGTTTCGTGGGTGAGGGGCTTGGACTTCCAGCAAGCATGTGTGAGCGTGTTAGATAGGAGTGAATGGAGATGAATGGTTTTTGGGACCTGACGAGCTGTTGGAGTGTGAGCAGGGTAATATTTAGTGAAGGGATTCAGGGAAACCAGTTATATTTCTATAGCCGGACTTGAGTACTGGAAATGGGAAGTACAATGTCTGTACTTTAAAGGAGGGGTTTGGGATATTGACAGTTTGTAGGGGTATGTTATATATGCTTCTAAACTGTTGTATCTGGGTGCTTCTGCAAAGACAGTGATTATGTGTGAGTGAGATGAAAGTGTTGAATGATGATGAAGGTATTTTCTTATTGGGGATGTTCTTTCTTTTTGGGTTACCGTGCCTTGGTGGGAAATGGCTGACTTGTTGAAAAAAAAAAAGGGGGCTAGTAAGAAGATAGAGGAAAATCCAGAGGGGTGTGAATATATATATATATATATATGCTTGTACATGTATGTGCAGTGTGACCTAAGTATAAGCAAAAGTAGCAGGACGTATCTGAAATCTTGCATTTTTTTTTTTCAACAAACCGGCCATATCCAACTGAGGCAGGGTAGCCAAAAAAGAAAATCAAAAGTTTCTCTTTTTAAATTTAGTAATCTATACAGGAGAAAGGGTTACTAGCCTCTTGCTCCCGGCATTTTAGTCACCTCTTACAACACGTATGGCTTATGGAGGAAGAATTCTGTTCCACTTTTCCATGGAGATAAGAGGAAATAAACAAGAACAAGAACTAGAAAGCTAGGTAGTAGGTTGGTAGACAGCAACCACCCAGGGAGGTACTACTGTCCTGCCAAGTGAGTGTAAAACGAAAGCCTGTAATTGTTTTACATGATGATAGGATTTCTGGTGTCCTTGTTTTCTGTCTCATGAACATGCAAGATTTTCAGATAAGTCTTGCTACTTCTACTTACTCTTGGGTCACACTACACATACATGTACAAACATTTATATACACACCTTCTAGGTTTTCTTCTATTTTCTTTCTAGTTCTTGTTTATTTCCTCTTATCTCCATGGGGAAGTGGAACAGAATTCTTCCTCCATAAGCCCTGCGTGTTGTACGAGGCGACTAAAATTCCGGCAGCAAGGGGCTAGTAACCCCTTCTCCTGTATATATTACTATATATACTTTTGTTGCCACCCTGCCTCGGTGGGATACGGCCGGTTTGTTGAAAGAAGAAAGAAGAACTTGAAAGAAAATAGCAGAAAACTCAGAGGAGTGTGTATATGTATGCTTGTACATGTATGTGTAGTGTGACCTAAGTGTAAGTAGAAGTAGCAATACGTACCTGAAATCTTGCATGTTTATGAGACAGAAAAAAAGATACCAGCAATCCTACCATCATGTAAAACAATTACAGGATTCTGTTTTACACTCGCTTGGCAGGACGGTAGTACCTCCCTGAGCAGTTGCTGTCTACCAACCTACTACCTAGGACTTCCTTATATCATTCTTCATTAATATTGTAATGAGTGTTCATTGCTTCCTTGCACTCAACCTGTTTAACTTTTGTTGTTTCAGGTATCATCTAAAAGATGTAATTGTTGGCAAAATTTATTTTCTGTTAGTACGCATCAAGATCAAGCATATGGAAATTGCTATCATCAAAAGGGAAACTACAGGCTCAGGTAACTTATTAATTGATTGTTTATTAATTTTTTTTAGTCATGTTTCTAACATTGGCCATTTTCCTTCAAATCAAGGTGACCCAAAAACAGTATCATTTACCATCACTTACTTTCTAGTCTTCTTTCCAGAAGGGTAGAGGCATGATTCAGTGAAACTACGGTCATGGTGCCCAGTCTTCATTTTTTACATTTTTTTTTTTTTTTTTTTTTTAGAAACTCCAATAGCTGTTGGAGGTCATCCTGCTATTGAGGCAAATTCTTATCAACTACTGCATATACAGTGGTACCCCGAGTTTCGAACTGAATCCGTTCCAGGAGCTAGTTCTAAAGTCGAAATGTTCGAAACTCGAAGCAATATTTCCCGTAAGAAATACTGTAAATACAATTAATCCGTTCCAGAAACCCAAAAATATTAACAAACAAATATATTTATAGAGATTAATTATAGTTTTACATACACACAAAAGGCATACATAGTACAATTAGTAATAGATAAATAAACATTTAAATAAACATATAAGATAACATTTTTACTTACCTTTATTGATGATTGTTGATGGCATCTGGAAGATAGGGAGAGAAGGAGTGAGGGAGCACTTATTGTTTGGAAGGGGAATCCCCTTCCATAAAGACTTTAGGTAGCAAGTCCTTATCTGGGGTTATTTCCGTTCTTTAAGATTTCCCTAAATGGGACATGGTTCTGTCACTGAACTGGTTGCAGAGATGGCTTGTTTCACCTTGCTCAGGGTGATATTTTTCAGCAAATTCCTGCACCGTATTCCACATTGCACAAATCTCCTTAATCTCTGAAGCAGGCACCATCCACCACCACCGCCGCCGCCCGCCACCATCTACCACCACCATCCACCACCATGGTAGCTTATTTCACAGTCGCACTTAATAAACAAGCATCAAACTAAATGAATTAATTATGAAATGTTTAAATGAGCGCTCAGGTTAGTGTTCACTCAAGCATAAACAAAGCCAGACTGGCTCACGATGCCTGCGCGGAGGATGCGGGCAGGCGCGGGGAAGCGGACAGGTCTGGTACATGGTTGAAGCATTCGATAGTCGATGCATTTGAAACTCGGGGTTCCAGGAAGGGTGACCCATAAAGAAAGAAAAAACTTTCATCATCATTCAACACTTTCACCATCATTCACACATAATCACTGTCTTTGCAGAGGCACTCAGATACAACAGTTTAGATGTCACTCTGAACTGCCAATATCCCAAACTCCTCCTTTAAAGTGCAGGCATTGTACTTCCCACCTCCAGGACTCAAGTCCAGCTAACCGGTTTCCCTGAATCTCTTCACAAAATATTACCCTTTTCACACTCCAACAGCTCATCGGGTTCAAAAAACCATTTGTCTCCATTCACTTCTATTTTTAAATGATTTTTCATTTTTTTAATTAACATGCTTTGATAGAAGAGGAGGGGGGGATAGGAGAGAGAGAGAGAGAGAGAGGGAGAGGAAGGGTATCAGCACAGCCTCTTCTCACTTAGCGACATACGTACTTGTTTACCGACCACTTGGACTTAGGACCAGCTCTCCAACCAGTATGCAAACCTAATGTATATTAGAGCTGATTTCCTCTATTCTGTTTATTACAGTATACAGTACACTACTGTATAAACAGTTAAAAATCTGCTAAAAATGTTGTAAATGGTGTAAAAGTGACTTAAAAAATATCCGAAATGGTTGACACAAACCCACTGCCAATATAGTATAACTCCTTGCTTAACAACCAGTTTGCTTACCGACCTACTCTTAGAAACGGAACCCCGTTGTTAAGTGAGGAGAGGCTGTAGTTTATCAAGCCTTTCATAAATGTTTTGTTGTATTTACTGGGGTTTGGTGCAGAGAATAGCTGTGTATATCTTTTCTTCTAATGCTGTCAAATCCTCTCTAGTTACAATATCACTTACAGGACCCAACACTTTCAATGAGAATGAAACCATTGCCAAGTATGAAATAATGGATGGAGCCCCAGTGCGTGGTGAAAGCATCCCAATCAGAGTGTTTTTGGCTGGCTATGACTTGACCCCCACCATGAGGGACATCAACAAAAAATTCTCGGTGAGATATTACTTGAACCTGGTGTTAGTCGATGAAGAGGAACGGCGCTACTTTAAACAGCAAGTAAGTTATTTTGTATTGACCCATCTGATTTTAACCCATCAACTGTCCAAACGTAGATCTACGTTCTTGCCGCTAGTGCTCCAAATGTAGATCTAAGTTTTATTTTTCCTGCCTCCTAATTTGGCATGATTGACCTGAAATGCCTGGTCAGCACGGAATGGGTCTTAACACTCGGCATGCGCAGTATTAAAAAATCTGGAACCACTTAGTACCTTGTGGGAGCACTAGTTCCATTGAGCGCCAGCTAGAGCAAACAGCACGGCAAACACCAAGGATTCACTGATGTCATGTCATATTAACACTCGCCTTTTAACCCTTTCAGGGTTGGTGCCGTACTAGTATGGCTTGCACGCCAGGGTTGGTGCCATACTAGTACGCATAGATTTTAGCGCCTTCAAATCTAGCAAGAGAAAGCTGGTAGGCCTACATATGAAAGAATGGGTCTATGTGGTCAGTGTGCACAACATAAAAAAAATCTTGCAGCACACAGTGCATAATGAGAAAAAAAAAACGACCGTGTTTTTGCTTTAAAACGGCGACTTTGCAGTGTATTTTCATATGCTATTTATGGTTGTATTCTAGTTTTCCTGGTCTCATTTTATAGAAAGGAAGACATGTTACAGAAATTGAGATGATTTTGATTGGTTTCACAATGAAAAGTACCTTGAAATTGAGCTCAAAGTAGCAGAAATATTAAATTTTTGCCAAAGTTCAAAAGTAAACAAATCATGCCACTCGTCCAATACATATCAACTGGTGAATTTAATATTCTTTCACAAGTGCACTGATATTATTTATACTATTTCTACACTAGTGCAGTAGTCTGCATAACAGTAAAGCTTTAATTTTATGTGAGAATAAAAATTCAAAGTGGAAAGCCAGAGAAATATGAGAGAGGCCTGGGGACATAACTAATGAACAGAAAAAAGTTATTTTAGTGCCAGGAATGTTTGTCTTGTTAATTCTGGACCCTGTTTGGAAATTGGCAACTTTTGAAATTTGTGTGAAATTGGCAAAATTGCCAATTTTTGACCACTATTGGATAGCTAAAATTGGTTAATAGGTGGTTTCTTGTACTCATTCGATAGAAAAAATGGAGTTCTAGCGAAATAGTTATGATTTTTGTCTGCCAGTACATTGGAATTGGCTGAAAATAGGGCTCAAAGTGGGCTAAATAGCCGATACATAAACATTGTCGAGACTGCTAACTTCGCGAGAGCATAATTCCATAAGTTTTCCATCAAATTTAATACTTTTGGTGTCATTATGATCAGGAAAAGATTCTTTATCACCTGAAAGGGTTAAGAGGAAAGTGATGTTGACCCCATGTTTGGTGGCTTAAAGTGGATGTAGCCACAAGTCGCAGAAATATTGAAAACCTCGATAATAACCCATGTGCAACATTTGTGCAACACCCTTTCAATTTTGGTAACACAGGTAATGTCATCTTGCTAGAATGTCTTATAAACTATGCCCTAAGTAAAAAGAAACAATTCTGGAACGTGTAATCAGTGTTCGGCAGGCTTGCTGGCCAGTGGCTGGCTGGTCAACTGGCTGTCTGATTGGCTGTCTCTATCTCCATCTGTCTGTCTGTCTGTATCTATCTCTGTCTCATAGGTACACATACGTTAATACAATTATACATAGTGTAAATTACCTAGGATAACCCAAATATATAATAATATAATGCATAATGCATAATAAGTATGTCTGGCAATTGGCAAGTAATACGCATTTTTACTTGTTCAGGAATCAGACGTGATCATATGTAATACCAGTTGGTTCATGAGCAACTCTGAGACTAGATTCAAATTCAAATTTATTTATTTCTTTGCAAGTACATGTAGTAAATTGAGATTATGTATTTACAATATTGGTTTGCAATGCAAAGAGAGCCTCTATAATGCCTAAGCATTATGGGCCGACTTATTTATTGGCTTACTGGCTACTTAACACTAAAGAAATTTATCATAGTTGTACAGTAGTTCTATTAATTATAAGTGAATCTAATTTATATAAACCAAAGGATATATTCATATATTCAAAAATGCTTTTTGTGAAACATGATTCAGTTATATTCCTGTCGACAATGGACAATAGGTTCAAGAGTAAATATTGAAATTATTATTATTATAATCAAGGGGGAAGCTCTAAACCCATAGGATTATACAGTGCCTGGGGGAGATGTGGAAGGTATTCAGGCTTAATTTGGGAACTGGAGCACAGATCCAAGAGCCCCTCACCAGCATCAAGGAACCTTCCTTGAGGGGTCTGAGACTAGAGAGAGAAACAGACAGAAAGACACAAACACACAGGTGAAGGAGAGAGAGACAGGCAGACAGAAAGACAAACACACACAGGCAGACAGACACACAGGCAAACGGAAAGACAGACACACAGGCAGACAGAAAGACACACACACAGGCAGACAGAAAGACACACACACACACACACAGACAGACAGAAAGACAAGAGACACACAGGTAGACAGAAAGACAAACACACACAGGCAGACAGAAAAGCAGACAGACACACACAGGCAAACAGAAAGACAGACACACAGGCAGGCAGAAAGACAAGAGACACACAGGCAGACAGAAAGACAAGAGAGACACAGGCAGACAGAAAGACAAGAGAGAGACAGGCAGACAGAAAGACAAGAGACACACAGGCAGACAGAAAGACAAGAGAGACACAGGCAGACAGAAAGACACACACAGGCAGACAGAAAGACACACACACACACACACATGCAGACAGAAAGACAGGTAAACAGACATAGAGAGACATGTGTATGTGTAACAATGAAAACAAACAAAGCCAGGGTTCCATGCAGCAGTGCACGGTCATCGTGTCACTTCACTGTTTACCCCGTCAGCATTTTAGTAACACTTGTCTTAACACCATGCTCTAGGAGTTTCATATATACTCCAGCATGTCTAAAACATTGCTGGGACCTGTAAAAACTTTGTATGTATTCCTAGACAATAGTAAATGACAGAGGCAGGTGTAAATGTTGACTTGTCAGTGTGTTTGTGACTGAGTACAATTTTAGTACCTAATATTAGTGTCAGAAAAAAATTGGCTGTGAAATGACAAGAACTACTATAAATTGTAATTATCAGAACATAAAAATTATATAAAATAATATAAAAACAAGAAAAAAAGGTATATCGGCAACACTTTTGCAAGCGGCAGGGCTCCATGTTGCCGTCAGGTGATCATCAAGTGCCAACTTCTTGGGCTCATGTCTCAGTAAGTACTGTCCTAAAAAATTTTTTTTATTCTCTGTCACGTAGAAAATTGCACTCTTTATTTCTGTTTTTTTTTTTTTTTTTTTTTTTTTTTTTTTTTTTTTTCCAAAAAATATTTGGAGCGCTGGCCAAGAGAACCTAGATCTACATTTGGACAGTTAATGGGTTAAAACTTTATTTTACATGGTATGAAAGTATACTATTTAATTTATTTATTGCATTTTTTAATGCAAAATGTATCATTTATTTCTAGTTTGACAGTGAACATATCTATGAGACATTACATGGCAGAAAAGAATATATGCAACCAAGGCCAGAATCTGGGTTAGTGAACGAATTGATTCCTTAATGTTTTCTTTGTGAGAATGTGTAGATATTGCCTTCTGCAGTTGTTAGTTAGATTCAGAGCCCCATAACAAAGTATGGTAACATGAGCTTCATAGCTCTGATCTCCTCCATACCTGCGTTTTTCTCCACTCTTTGAATCTGACACGTATTTTTGCTACTGCGCAATGTCTCGTTGAATTAAGAATGTTGATGGCACATGAAGAAAAAGTTTTATATCATTCACACTTCTCTTCCAACCCTTTGGGACCTTCCCTATTGTAACTTTCATCAACTTTAGATTTATATACCCTTCTTGGTCAGTTGAATTTCCTTTTCAGATGACCAGACCAACTTGATACCTTTTGCACCCCTTGAATTCTACATTTCATACCTCCACACAGTCTTCTTACTTTATTCACTGCACAATGTTCATGCCACACATTGAGCTTGGATAGTATATTTCCACTTGCTCCAGCTTCTTCCTCATTGCAACATTCAGAGAACATGCTTCACACCCATACAAAATGAATTGAAACGACACTGTTGTAAATGTAATGATATAAGGAAAGAAGGAATTGCAAGGCCTTAATTTTGTCGGTCTTGTTTCTATAAGTGTGTTGTTTTTTATTAAACTCACTATGGTAACAACATCAATTTCCTGCTAAAATAATGAAGCCTTAAATTCTTATATATTATTTGTATAGAGCCCTGGATGAACACTTGTGACTGGGCATTAAATAAATATCAGTAATCATAAATTAAATCCTTTGCTCTGCCCTAGGAAATCACACTATGGCGAAAGGGAGAGCGGTTACGACGCCCCCTCCAACAGCAGCTTATGGCACAGCAGCAAACCCTTCAGCAGCTCTCACTCAACAACCAGCAAGGAAAGTTTCCCCAGTCACACCCTCAGGGTCAGCCACCAGAATTTGTAAGTGTATTTGTTGTAATTTTTTCATTTTTTAACCTTCTGCTTGAAACATCTGGGAAATGCTGCACTCTAGGTAATCATATCTACTTCATAAATAACACCAGTGAGCAACACTTTAAAAGATATGGCCTTTAGTAACATAAATTGAAATCGAATATGAAAAGTAGTTTATTATGAGTAGAGAATTCAGTGATTCTGTACATACAGTAGGGCCCCACTCTACGGCGTTTCGCCTTACGGTATTCTGCTAATACAGGGATTTCAAATCATGGCCAAAACTTGCAATATGGCGAGCAGTCTTTCAAATACAGCTCGCTCCACCCAGTTTGTTTACATTCTCTGTGAGCACACATCTCTATTATGCCTGGAAACTTTCCAAAATTTCAAGTGTTTTAAAGTTATTGCATATTTTATATGTACTTTGATAATTATACTTACGTGTACCTGTACTTAAATATACTTACACACTGTGCTGGCGTGCAGGTACACATTAAAATCACTAAATCTCTCTCTTCTCTTGACGTAATACGTAATCTCTTGGGTGCATTAAATATCATATACACCTACCATCCGACTTACGACCTGCTCGACTTACGACCACTCAACTTACGACCGTGTTTTTTATTCCAAATTTCTGGGAAATAAACAACTATTTGTGTTGTACACAGTGTTTATCCTAAACCTTACAGTATAAAATACAGTACTAACAGCATAAAAAGTAAAGTAAAACATGAAATACCAAAATAAAACAATAAAATAAAGTCATTACAAAAATGTTTTGTTGATATTCAGTAGTAAAGTTCGACTTACGACCGGTTTCTCGGAACCGAACTCGGTCGTAAGTCGGATGATAGGTGTATTACATTAATATAGACATTTCCATTAATCCATCTCTGATATTTTTTTCAAAATTTTAGAATAAACACGCTATGTAATGTATAAACATGATAAATACACCCCACAGTAGAATAAATTAACATAAATATGAGATGTGGTAGCCATGCAACTTGTAGTCCAACATCAGAGAAAATGTCACTATAATATTACTGGGGGTAACTACAGAATTATTCCTTTCGTATGCCTTCAGTCAGAGCATCATTTCTTCTCAAAATGGTGTTACAAAAGAATGGGAGTGTTTCTCTTTATTTATTCTACTGTATCAGTGTGGAGACAACTTGTACACAATGTAAAGTGACAAAAACCAGTCATGTTTGCCTGGTTTGTTTACATTACATGTGGGTGGGGCGGGGCAGGGAGTGCTGCCTTGGCTGGCTATCACCTGACTTCCTACAAATAAAACTCACCTCTCACCTTACACTAAGACTACAGATTTTTTTTTGTTTTTTCAACAAGTCAGCCATCTCCCACTGAGGCAGGGTGACCCAAAAAGAGAGAAAATCCCCAGAAAGAAAAAAAAATTCATCATCATTCAACACATTCACCTCACTCATACATAATAACTGTTTTTGCAGAGGCACCCAGATACATCAGTATAGAAGCATGTAAAGATATATAACTTATCCCTCCAAACTGTCAATATCTCAAACCCCTCCTTTAAAGTGCAGATATTTTTAAAGTACGTACAGATATTTTAAGGTAATTAATGAATGTACTTCATGTGTATTTTATCACTCTGGGTCGCTTTAATCAAATGTCGTAGTGTATTACGTGTGGGTGGGTTGGGGTGGGCTGACCTGGCTGGCTATCATACCTCCCAAACCTGACTTCCTACAAATAAAACTCACCTCTCACCCTACATTAGGACCACAAATATTTTAAGGTATGTAATGGGTGTACTGTGTGTGTATTTTACTTTTTATTGTTTTTAATGCCTAGATTTATTGCTAACTAATATATGTTAATGTAAACGTGTTATCTGGTATTTATATGCATTTATAAGTGGAAAAAATGGCGTTCTGCTTTCCGGTGATGTCTGCTTTCTGGCAGTAGCTTGGAACCTAACCTGCCATATAAGTGGGCTCTATTGTATTTGGATATTCTGAATTTGCAGAGATGTCTTGGAACCTGACTCAAATTTTAGGGTGTGATTGTATAGAGTTATGAAGAAAGTTGGAATAAAAACTTAGAATGAATAGATACTGACTTAATTTTAGAGCAAATTGGAATGGGCCCATTCGTTTGTTTTACAACAAAATGACGGATAAACAACACCGAGAGAGATAGAGATGTTGAATGAATGAATCAGATATGTATGATGATTGTAAATGAAGGTAGTGATGTTTATCAAGACAGGAATAATGAGCGGGCAATGTTTATTTATGATTTACGTTAGATTTTTTGCATCAGGAAATGGAAAAATTAATTTAATTTGTAATGTAATCATTCTCATGAGATATGCTTGCAGCATGATCTGTTTTAACCCTTTGACTGTCGCAACCCCCAATCCTGAGGTGTCTCCTGGTGTCGCAAAATTTAAAAAAAAAAAAAATTATTTTTTCTTATGAAATGATAGAGAATCTTTTCCCGATTGTAATGACACCAAAAAAACGAAATTTGATGGAAAACTGACAGAATTATGCTCTCGCGAAGTTAGCGACCTCGGTGCTGTTTACAAATCGGCGATTTCGCCCACTTTGAGCCCTATTTTCGGCTAATTCCCTTGTTCCAGTCGCCCAAACTCATAGCTATTTCTTTAGAACTCCATTTTTTCTATCGATTGAGTACAAGAAACTGCCCATTTACCGATTTCAACTACCTAATAATGTGGTCAGAAATTTGCAATTTGGCCAATTTCACGAAAACTAAAAAATATGACAATTTCAAAATAAGGTCCAGAATGAACAATGCAGATATTCCTGGCTCTAAAATAACATTTTCTTTGTTCATCAGTCACGTCTCCAGGACCCTCTGATATTACTCTTGCTTTCTATTTTGAATTTTTATTCAAACAAAAAATAGAAGACTTACTATTATGCAGACTACCGCAATACTGTAATAATTGTATAAATAACATCAACCCATTCATGACTGCATATTAGAATGGCTAGTTGGACATTTATTGGACAATGGCATCATTTGTTTACTTTTGAACATTGGCAAAAATCAAACATTTCCCCTACTTTGAGCTCCATTTCTAGGTTCTTTTTATAGTAAAATCAATCAAAATCACCTCTATTTCTATAACATGTTATCCATTCTATCAAATGAGACCAAGAAAACGAGAATACAACTATAAATACTATACGAAAATAGACCACAAAGTCGGCATTTTAATTAAAAAAAATGGTCGGAGTTTTTTTTTTCTCATTAAGCACTGCGTGCTCCAGGATTTTTTTTATATGGTGCACACTGACCACACAGACCCATTCTCTCACATGTGGGCCTACCAGCTTTCTCCTGCTTGATTTGAAGCCGCTAGAATTTATGAGTATATATACGTCAAACACGGTACCTCGTAAGACGTATATATACGGCCGCGACAGTCAAAGGGTTAAAAAAATCTTATTTCTACATTATTTTTCAGACACCCCAGATGACCTCGGCAGGGGCTGAACCTCCATCCCCACAACAGTCTCAGTCTCCCATGCATGAAGAAGCCCCAGAACAACTGCCTAGCAATCCATCTCCACAGTCTCAAGGTAGACAACATCATTCAGCCTCTCCTCCACACCTGCATCTTGAACAAGAGGTAAGATATGTAAATCATGCCTGTTCTGAGACTGGTCTTGGAAGAGGGGAGGAGGTGAGTCTTGCAATTGATAACAAATAACATATTGTACAGTAATACCTCTCTCACTGTGTCTTCATTCTGTTGAGATTTGAAGAGTTACATTTTGTTGGGTTTTAAACCCCTACAGGTGGCTTTTAGTTCAGTGAAAACACCTTTGACTTAAAACTGCAGATAATTAGAAAAAATTCAAATATAATGTGGTAGTATTAAAGGTACAATTCAAAGAAGTGAAGGTGGGTTACAGTAATACCAGACTTTATGCCCATACAATAAGGATTGTCTGTTTTTTATATATATAAACTACTTTTTTTTGGTACATATACAGTGGAACCTTGAGTTTTGGCCGTAATCCGTTCCAGGAGCTAGGCTTAAAGTCGAAGCAATATTTACCATAAGAAATAATGTAAATCCAATTAATCCGTTACTGCTGTCTGGAGGCATGACAAATTAGTACAGTGGATCTCCGGTTATCGGTCGGTTCTCTTATCGGCCGACTTGGTTATCGGCTGTTTGGGACGCATCCATCCGCCGGCTGGGGCCTCTTGCGTGTCAGTTTGGCTTTGACTCTCGGTGGCTGAGGAAGCTTCTGCTCATACAACCAAACATTTTGCTTGTTTTCCATTGTTTTTAGTGTTTTTTTTTTTTGCAGTGCAACTGTGAAATAAGTAACCATGGCTCCAAAGAAAGTTCGTCCTGTGGTAAAGAAAGTGAGAAACACCATGGAATTTAAGCATGAAGTGATAGAAAAGTTTGAGAGTGGTATGAAGGTGGTGGAACTTGCCAGATGTACAGCAAGAATAAATCAACAATTACATCCATCCTGGCAAAGAAGGATTAAGGAAAAAGAATTAGTGGGAGACAGTGTTGTGGAGTCTATTATTTGTGAGAAGGCAAGGCAGTTGCATGAGGATCTTGCAAAGAAAATGCCTGGAACAAGTGCTGCAATTTGTGAATTTATGGCCAGCAAAGGATGGTTTGATAGATTTAAGAAGCGTTGTGGCATACACAGTGATATAAGGCATGGTGAGGCAGCAAGTTCTGACAAATGTGCGGCTGAAAAATTCGTACAGGAGTTCCAGGGGTACATAGAGGCTGAAGGATTCAAACCCCAACAAGTGTTCAATTGTGACAAAACAGGCTTACATTACCCAGGAGGAAAAGGCACTGCCAGGACACAAGCCTATGAAAGACAGGCTTACTCTTTTGTGTGGTAATGCTAGTGGGGACTTTAAAGTGAAGCCTTTACTTGTGTATCACTCAGCAAATCCCAGAGTGTTCAAGAAAAACAATGTCATGAAGAATAGATTGTGTGTGATGTGGAAAGCTAATCATAAGGCATGGGTCACAAGGCAAATTTTTAAAGAGTGGGTTAATGATGTGTTTGGAAAAGAGATTGCCACTCAAATGGCTCCTGTTACTGGACAGTGCTCCTGCACATCCTCCAGACTTGCAAGACCAAGTGTTTAGGGACTTCAGTTTCATCACAGTGAAGTTCTTGCCTCCTAACACCATTCCTCTCCTCCAGCCCATGGACCAGCAGGTCATTTCTAACTTCAAAAAGCTCTACACAAAAGCAGTGCTTCAAAAGTGCTTTGAAGTGATGTCGGACATTCGGTTAACCCTAAGAGAGTTCTGGAGGAATCACTTCACTATCCTCCATTGCATAAGCCTTATAGGTAAGGCTTGGGAGGGAGTGACTTCCAGGACTTTGAACTCTGCTTGGAGAAAACTGTGGCCAAATTGTATCCAAGAGAGGGATTTTGAAGGGTTTGAGGCTGACCCTGACCCTGCCGACCCTGTGGACTATATTGTGGCACTGGGAAAGTCCCTGGGGTTGGAGGTGAGTGGCAAGGATGTGGAAGAGTTGGTGGAGGACCACAGGGAAGAGCTAACCACTGAAGAGCTGCAAGAGCTTCAACTTGAACAGCAACAGACTGCAGCTGAGGAACTTGCTTCAGAGGAGGAAGAGGGAGTGAAGGAAGTGCCTTCTTCAGAGATTAAAGAGGTGTGTGCAATGTGGACTAGGGTGAAAGCTTTTGTAGGGAAACACCACCCTGACAAATCTGAAACAAGCCATATCTGCAACATGTTTAGTGAGAAAACCCTGTCCCACTTCAGGGAAACCTTAAAGAGACGCCAGAAACAGAGCACTCTGGACAGTTATTTTGTGAGACGGGTTCAGTGACTCTCAAGCTGGTCCTAGTGGCATTAAAAGACAAAGAAGGGAAGTAACCCCAGAGAAGGCTTTGCTACCTAAAGTTTTTATGGAGGGGGATAACCCTTCCAAACACTAACTCCTCCCTCTTTCCTCTTCCCTATGTTCCAGAAGACAGCATTAACCTTCAATAAAGGTATGTAATACTTACATAATTTTTTTTTTTCAACAAACCGGCCGTATCCCACCAAGGCAGGGTGGCCCATTAAGAAAAACGAAAGTTTCTCTTTTTAAATTTAGTAATTTGTACAGGAGAAGGGGTTACTAGGCAATTTCTCCCGGCATTTTAGTCGCCTCTTACAACACGCATGGCTTACGGAGGAAGAATTCTGTTCCACTTCCCCATGGAGATAAGAGGAAATAAACAAGAACAAGAACTAGAAAGAAAATAGAAGAAAACCCAGAGGGGTGTGTATATATATGCTTGTATATGTGTGTGTAGTGTGACCTAAGTACATATAAGCAGAAGTAGCAAGACGTACCTGTAATCTTGCATGTTTATGAGACACAAAAGACACCAGCAATCCTACCATCATGTAAAACAATTACAGGCTTTCGTTTTACACTCACTTGGCAAGATGGTAGTACCTCTCTGGGTGGTTGCTGTCTACCAACCTACTACCTATACTTACATAATTGTTAAAAAAATAATTTTTTTGTCAATATTTTTGTCTGGAACGAATTAATTGTATTTTCATTAATTCTTATGGGAAATATTAATTCGGCTTTCGGCCATTTTGGTTGTCGGCCGCCCTTCTGGAATGGATTACGGCTGTTAACGGGGTCAACTGTACTTCAATATGATGCTATTATCAATTTTACAACTTATTTATATGTCAAAATTCATCTAATATGGCATAATAAACAATATAAATAACATAAAAACCTGATATACACTGTAGAATGAATAAAATATGTATGTCATTATGTATGTGGTGGTGGGAGAGGGCAGTGGTTCCTCCTTCAGATGTTAGTATAAGAGAAAATGGAGTTTGTGAGGCAAACTGCATTAGATCACTTTTTTCATAAAAAACCATGATGTCCAAATGAACTGGTGTACGTACACCATTTACATACCTTACAGAAGATAGGCAGAGCAGCTTATGCTGTCAGGAGTTTATTTTGTTTCATCCTTTTCCTATTGCTTAATTACAACACTCTTAATGCTACACTTTGTCACCGAACTTAACTGCTTTAAACTCCACAACTTGCGCCTGTGCTGGCATGCAGGAACACATTAAAATCACTAAGTGTGTGTTATTAGTCTTGAAGATGCCGTGTTAATAATGACAACAACACAATAATAATCACACTGAGGTGCATTAAATGTTATATAAAACATTAATACATATATATACATTTTGCTTAATCCATCTATGATATTGTTTCAAAATTATATAATGAACATGCTGTGTAATATTTTTTTTTTTTTTTTTGTAACAAGTTGGTCATCTCCCATTGAGGCAGGGTGACCCAGATAGAAAGAAAATCCCAAAAAACAAAATATACTTTCATCATCATTCAACACTTTCACCTCACTCACACATAATCAGTCTTTGTAGAGGTGCCCAGATACAACAGTTTAGAAGTATATATAACATACCCCTCCAAACTGTCAATATCCCAAACCCCTCCTTTAAAGTGTAGGCATTGCACTTTCCATTTCGAGTACTCAAGTTTGCAATCGTGTCATTACGATTTCGTGAGTCACTTTTAGTAGCTCTACACCACTTCCTAATTTCCACACTCTGAATTCTCTGCATAATATTTACACCACACATTGCTCGTAGACAGGACATTTCCACTGCCCCCAGCCGCCTCCTTGCAGCAGCATTTGCAACCCAAGCTTCACACCCACATAAGAATGTTGGTACCACTATACTTTCATACATTCCCTTCTCTGCCTCAATGGATAATATTTTTTGTCTCCACAGATACCTCAGTGCACCACTCACCTTTCCTTCATCAATTCTGTGGTTAACCTCATCTTTCATAAACCCATGCACTGACAAGTCAACTCCCAAATATCTGAAAACATTCACTTCTTCCATAATCCTTCTCTCCAATGTGATATCCAATTTTCTTTATCTAAATCACTTGATACCCTCATCACCTTACTCTCATCTATGTTCACTTTCAACTTTCTACCTTTACACACCCTCCCAAACTCTTTCACTAACCATTGCAACTTTTCTTTAGAATCTCCCATAAGCACAGTATCATCAGCAAAAAGAAACTGTGTCATCTCCCATTTTGTATTTGATTCCCCATAATTTAATCCCACCCCTCTCCCCAACACCCTAGCTTTTACTTCTTTTACAACCCCATCTATAAATATATTAAACTACCATGGTGGCATTACACATCCCTGTCTAAGACCTACTTTTACCGGGAAGTAATCTCCTCTCCTACACACCCTAACCTGAGCCTCACTATCCTTATGAAAATTGTTTACAGCATTTAGCAACTTACTACCTATTCCATATACATACTTGCAACATCTGCCACATTGCTCCCCTATCCACTCTATCATATGCCTTTTCTAAATGCATAAATGCAATGAAAACTTCCTTACCTTTATCCAAATACTGTTCACATATATGCTTCAATGGAAACAGTTGATCTACACATCCTCTTCCCACTCTAAAACCTTCTTGCTCATCCGCAATCCTACATTCTGTCTTGCCTCTAATTCTCTCAGTAATAAGCCTACCATACACTTTTCCTGGTATGATCAGTAAACTTATTCCTCTATAATTTTTAGTCTCTTTTGTCCCCCTTCCCTTTATATAAAGGGACTATACATGCTCTCTGCCAGTCCCTAGGTACCTTCCCCTCTTTCGTACATTTCTTTCTTTCAACACACCAGCCGTATCCCACCAAGGCAGGGTGGCCCAAAAAGAAAAACGAGAGTTTCTCTTTTACATTTAGTAATTTATATGGGAGAAGGGGTTACTAGCCCCTTGCTCCCGGCATTTTAGTCGCCTCTTACAACACGCATGGCTTACGGAGGAAGAATTCTGTTCCACTTCCCCATGGAGATAATGGAAATAAACAAGAACAAGAACTAGAAAAAAATAGAATACCCAGAGGGGTGTGTATATATATGCTTGTACATGTATGTGTAGTGTGACCTAAGTGCAAGTAGAAGTAGCAAGACATACCTGAAATCTTGCATGTTTATGAGACAGACAAAAGACACCAGCAATCCTACCATCATGTAAAACAATTACAGGTTTTCGTTGTACACTAACTTGGCAGGACGGTAGTACCTCCCTGGGCGGTTGCTGTTTACCAACCTACTACCTAGGTTTTGTACATTTATTAAACAAAAATACCAACCACTCCAACACTATATAACCCCCTGCTTTTAACATTTCTGTCATGATCTCGTCAGTTCCAGTTGCTGTGTAATGCCTCGCGCACCTCCCCCACATTCATGTCTTGCTCTTCTTCACTCCTAAATGATGGTATATCTCTCTGGCCAGTGCATAAAATTACCACCTCCCTTTCTTCGTTGACATTTAAAAGTTCCTCAAAATATTCCCTCCATCTACCCAGTACCTCCATCTCCCCATGTACTAAATCCCCTACTCTGTTTTTAACTGCCAAATCCATTCGCTCCATAGGCTTTCTTAACTTGCTTATCTCACCACAAAATTTTTTCTTATTTTCATCAAAATTTCTTGACAGTGTCTCTCCCGCTCTATCATCTGCTCTCCTTTTGCACTCTGTCGCCACTCTCTTCACTTTTCTTTTGCTCTCCATATACTCTGCTCTTCTTAAAACACTTCTGCTTTATAAAAACCTCTCATAATCTACCTTTTTCTCTTTTATCACACCCTTTACTTCATCATTCCACCAATCACTCCTCTTTCCTCCTGCACCCACCCTCCTATTGCCACGAACTTCTGCCTCACATTCTAATACTGCATTTTTAAAACTATTCCAACCCTCTTCAACCTCCCCACTACTCATACTTGCACTAGCCCACCTTTCTGCCAATAGTTGCTTATATCTTACCCAAACTTCTTCCTCCCTTAGTTTATACACTTTCACCTCTCTCTTACTTGTTGTTGCCATTTTCCTTTTGTCCCCTCTATCTCTTACTCTAACTGTAGCTACAACTAAATAATGATCCGATATATCAATTGCCCCTCTATAAACATGTACATCCTGAAGCCTACCCATCAATGTTTTATCCACCAATATATAATCTGACAAACTACTTTCATTACATGCTATATCATACCTTGTATATTTATCCTCTTTTTCATAAAATTAAGATTATAATATAATATATATAGATTATAATACATGTATTATAAATTAAGATTATAATACATATATATTTGCACATTTATTAAGGTTTAGTACTTGGTGCTGCGTCCTTTATGCTTAATCACGTCCCTCAGCTGTATAGGAAGACTCTAACACAAATTCTTGAGGGTTTGGGGAGGTATATTATTCCATGCCTCATGTAGAGCAGCCTCCAGCTGCGGGATGGAACTGATACCCTTGCCCAGTAAACTTCGTTTCAATATTGACTAGAGGTTCTCAATGGGGTTTAGGTCTGTGGAATTGCCTGGCCAGTCATTAAAGAGCCTCACTTCACAGTCCTTAAGCCACTGAATACAGCTTTGGTGGTATGACACGGTGCACCATCCTACATAAAAACCGTAGCCCCACACTTGTCAAACTCCTCAGGTAAATTGTCACACAATAACTCCATGTAATTATACTGGTTCATATACTGTTTTTTTGGGAAGCACAATGCATTTACCAACACTGAGCACTGAAACACCCCCAAACCATGAGCGAGTCTGGGTGTTTGGTGGTCCCACAGGTGTAGCATGGGTCTAGCAGGTCACTACCTCTGGGCCGGTACACATGTCCCCCACGGTTGCAGGTGACGGTGAAGGTTGCTTCATCACTCCAAAGCACTTTAGACCATTGTTAAGGATTCCAGTGAGGACATATCTTTGCATAATCCAGCCAATGTTTCTTCTGTGACATGGAGAGGATCGGTCTCTTAACCTAGCAGTGACTACTGTAGCCCAGTTCTGACACACGTCTTAACAGTTCTTACAGACACCTCTGAGAGAAGATGTGGGTTCTTTTCTTTCAGTTCACTAGCAGTTATCTTAGGTGTACTCTCTAACTGCTTCTTTAACCCTTTCAGGGTTGGCAGGCCCTCTCCTAAACTTGTTCTCAGGGTCGGAAATTTTTTGAAAAAAAAATAATTTTTTCTTATGAAATGACAGAGAATCTTTTCCCAATCATAATGACACCAAAAGTATGAAATTTGATTGAAAACTTACTGAATTATGCTCTTGCGAAGTTAGCAGCCTCGCCGATGTTTACGCATTGGCGATTTCGCCCACTTTGAGCCCTATTTTCGGCCAATTCCAATGTACGAGTCGACAAAAATCATAACTATTTCGCTAGAACTCCATTTTTTCTATCGAATGAGCACAAGAAACCACCCATTTACACATTTCAAGTATCCAATAAAGTGGTCAGAAATTGGCAATTTTGCCAATTTCACACAAATTTCAAAAGATGCCAATTTCCAAATAGGGTCCACAGTAAACAAGACAGACATTCTTGGCACTAAAGTAACATTTCCTCTCTTCATTAGTCACGTCCCCAGGCCTCTGTTACATTTCTTTTGCTTTCCACTTGAATTTTTATTCTCACATAAAATAGAAGATTTACTGTTATGCAGACTACTACATTAGTGTAGAAATGGTATAAATAATATCAGCGCACTTGTGAAAGAATATTAGACTCGCCAGTCGACGTGTACTGAACGTGTGGCATGATTTGTTTACTTTTGAACTTTGGCAAAAGTCGAACATTTCTGCTACTTTGAGCTCAATTTCAAGGTACTTTTCATTGTGAATTTCCATAACATGTCTTCCATTCTATAAAATGAGACCAGGAAAATTAGAATACAACCATAACTAGCATACAAAAATACACTGCAAAGTCTCTGTTTTAAACCAAAAACACGGTTGGAGTTTTTTTTTTTCTCATTATGCACTGTGTGCTGCTGGAATTTTTTTTGTACTGCGCACACTGACCACATAGACCCATTCTTGCATATCTAGGCCTATCAGCTTTCTCTCGCTAGATTTGAAGGCGCTAGAATTTATGCGTACTAGTACGGCACCAACCCTGGCGTGCAAGCCGTACTAGTATGGCACCAACCCTGAAAGGGTTAACACAGTTAAGGTACAAACAGATGTCTTCTTCGAGGGGCCACGCCGAGGTTTGGCAGATGGTAACTCGACATTGCCACCAGCCTTGAGACGCTGCACCCAGTTCCACACTGAATGCTCTCACACACCAACATTCTCCACTATTTGTTTTCATCTGGTGCCCAGCTTTGTGAAGCCCTGTGATTTGAGCTATAGTTTCAAGCGTTAAAAACTTCCTTTTACCCATAATGAAACATGTATAACCCCAAAACCAAGGGGAACACTGAACAAAAGGTGGGGCGGATGAGAGAGAAAAGTGCAACACTTCCTCTCACCACGGCAGCCACGTGAGCACTGAGGAGTCATTGTGGAGTGTGGCAGCAGGCTGTGATGTCATGCTAACGGCTGCTACCCAGCATAATGCACTGACGAAAAAAGACCCCCCCTGTATGGTAGGCCTTTGATTTTCGTCATAATGCCATGACTAGCACTGTACACAATGGATGAAGGGTTATAGACTGTGTTCTTTCTTTCATTTGCCACTATGTGTATTTAACACACCGACTGGTGGTCTGCTACTTGATATCTATAGGATTTTGTACTAAACCTGTTTACAAATTTTTTTTTACCCAACAGGCAGATGATGATCTAACAACTCCAAAACTTCCTTCCCCTCCCACGGAACCTCCCAATAGTATTGATTCTCCTGAGGAAGAATTCTTGGAGGCCCAAGCAGGCTCACTCTCAGACGAGGAAGAGGCAGAAGAGCGGGAATCAGTTAAACCCTCCTCTGGAGTGACACAGGAGCCGGTTCCAGTTGCGCAGTAGTAGACAGTCAATCTCTTTACCAGGTAGACACAGTTAGGTTGAGGGTAGGGGGCGGGGTATTTTTAGATCCAACAACAGGGTTCAGATATACCTGTTTTATTTATGCTTTGTTGATTATTGTTTCAGTTCGTTGCTGTAATCTTTTCATAATTAAAACAGGTGTGTGTACCAGATTTTAAGTGATTAAAACTGGCTTGCCATGGGTTAGAATCCTGTCTGTTCTGTGAGGAAATATATATATATATATAAATTATAAATTTATATATTCCATTCCATTTGGAATCATTAATCTTATGGAGACTGTCTCTAATTAAGAGCTGGAGAACTGAGTAATACTATAGATAAATTAACATTTAAATATGGATATAAGGTATGTGTATAGTTTTGAAGATATAGTACACACTACCTGCTTTATTATATTGATCAAATTCCTCTCTGTCCATATTATGTTTTATAACTCACAATTGGTATCTTCTAAATCAGTGAAACTAGAATATAAAACTGAAATGAAAGAATCAAGACCATTTATTCTGTTTTATCTTTAGTAATAATAGTTTTTCTAGCTCTTCAGTGTGTTTATTATTTTGTATATAGTTTTTAACCTTCAAGTAAATTGTTTTGCTACTTTCCAGCTAGTTACTAACTTTTCTGTTATGTCACTCTGGAGAGGGATTCACACAACTCTGTCTTGGCTTAAGCTTTTAAGCCAGAACAGCATTAAAGGTATTGCAAAGCTTGCTATTAATTACTCATGACACTTTATTATTAGTAAGAAAAGTCAGTTAGTCACAGCTGTTAATTATGAGTAGTGTAATTTTAAGATTTTGTAAGATCTGACTACACGATTAAAACCCAGTATATTTGTGTATGTGTATGTATATAGATGTATATATATATCTTTACATATATGTACATACAAGCTAGTAGACCTTTGCTAACACCATTAGTAGGTTTCTGAATCTTTCTGAAGTATTGATGTGTGAAAGTAGTAAAGATTTCTTGAAGGAAATTGAATTGCCATAAATATGCTGTTTACATTTATACTGATAATATTTCTCTTGAGTAAATTTACTGGGATGGGTGATATCTTTTCGGAGGGTTTGTTAATTAGTAGTTTGTAAAATTAAACTTGAAGCAGGAAAATTTATGCTGTGAAGCTCATAGCTGGATATTGTATATTATTATTTTCTAGTACTGTATAAAGATTAATTTGCTTGGAACAGACATTTTGGATTTCACTATGTAATTGTAAGTCTTCAGTTTTTCTTTACAACAATTTGGAACATGTTTTTCTCTCTTTCACATTTCTGTACCTTTTTTTCTTAAATACTTAACAGTTCACTCTGCTTCATATCAAGAATATACAGATATACAAGATGCTCTGGAACTTGTTTGGTCATAAATATTTGAAGACTATTTTTGTTTTTGTTTTTAATGATCATTTCAAAATTTATGATTGCTGATTAAGCTGTTTACCTGCAAACTAATGGCATCGAGGATGTTTAGGAAAGCCTGCCCATAAAAATTTGAATAAGAGCACTACGTGAAGACAAGCCTTTAATGTAGATAATGTTTAAGTCAGGAAAAGTGCGATCAAATTAATGGTAGTAACATACAAGTACATACTTGTGTATCCCCTTCTCAGCTGGGAAAGGAGGCAGTGGGTGGATAAGGGAAGGTAGGGTATTAGATTAATGGGGCAGTGTTACATTACATATTCTTGTTTGATTCCAGCCATTCATAATTTTTCAAGAGATGGAGTAATACTAAGTGACTCTTAGCTGTGTTCTGCAGTGTTGAAACTTGATTGCTAGAGCCTTTAAAGCCTTTTTGTCTGTCTCATTAATTGCTTCTGTGTCCATGTACCTTGGACTGTCTTGTCTTTCAATAAGCATGCAGAATTTACCTCTGATATCATCACTGCTCTAACACCCATACTTAATCTTCCCTCCTTGCTGACAGTCCCACCTTTGACTCAAACTCCCTCTTTGACTTTTTAACAGCAACCGATTTATTACACAAACTTTGATAATACTTCCATTAGCACTCCTCACAACCCTTTCCAACTTTACTTTTGTTATCCTTTCTACCCCTGGCTCCTCTCTGCTCTAGCAACACCTCTTGCCCTGCAGCACTATATGACCCTAGTGGGTTTAGCACTTAGTTTTGATTATAATAATAATGTGTCCATTTACCTAACATTTTGTCAGTAATTCTACCATTAATACTGTCTTCTGTACTGAATGTGTTATTCTAACCATGAGTTGGACATCGCACTTGTGGTGGATTACAAGGATGCTATGTGTGCATAAATGTCTATATTTTTAATCCTTGTGTGTTTACCTATCTGTGCAGTATTTTCCTAACTACAGGAACAGAGTTAAACTTGTGTCTCATTTTCAGTATTTGATCTATCGTATGATTTTTATGCAATTTGTGGTCCTGTAATATTTTGCTCTCGTGAAGTTTGTTGCAAAACCCACAAGATGGTGCTGACACCCTTCACTGATATTCTTGTTATTGTGAAGGGAGTTTTCTGGTCATGCTACTATTAGCTTAAATTTTCTGGTAAGTGAACTCAGTTCTTCACGAAGTGAGTATGTGGTGCAGGGGGGATGGCAGTTGTAATTTCCTGTGGAAAGGATGAGTCATCACTAGAGAAGCCTCATTCTTCTTTGTTATTTGGCTCCTACAATAGCCACCTTAAACAAGACGTTTCAAGAGATATTACAGTTCTAAATAAAAATATTTCAGCTAGAAATTATAAGACTTGCTGTGCCAAAAATGGAAAATTATTTGAGCCGAAGATTAGCAAATATGCGGCCCATAAATTTGTTACATGTTGTTATTTACACAGTAGGTACTACTGCACTGTATAATACTGCAATATATACATAAAATATAAAAAGGCTTCGTAGAGAATTAAGATAGTTCTTGAGTGGTGTGTGATGTACACAGGATAGTAGTAGGTAGTGTTAACTTTCAGAGCTATGGTTCAGATAATTTTGTTAAGCATGCTATGCTGCAGCTTTATGAACTAAATACCCTTTGACAACTTGGGTGTAATGAATTCTCTTGAGTGATATCTACTTTCAGCTTCAATCTTGTTTGGCAATAATGCCCAGACTGTTGAATATACATAAATTCATTGAAGCCTTTTCTACCCCTATATAAAAATTCCGCTGCAGCCCTATCAGTTTCTTCTACCCCAGTGTTTCTTGGGAGATCAATAACATTACTATCCGGTAATTTCTGGAACTACCAGGTACATTGAAGCCACTTATATCATGGAAAATTTTAGGGCAGTTTTTTCTCTATGCAGCATTCACAGCATAGTGTGAGTTTTTTCCATGACTAGTTTTATAATTGCAGGTTATTACAAACACAAGGTATGAATGGCCTGTGACCTGGTCATAATGGGTTTTGGAGCAAAACACACTCAGCAGATTGACTATAACTTGTATTTCCTTCACCAGATATAATTTGCCAGATATATACAAGTATGTACACTTATGTACACTATGTACAGAGATTGAATAGTAAGTGTACCACAGGATGGTGACAGAATGACAAAAACAAAAACCCGAGAGAGAGCACCGTCTAGCAAATGCTGACCGCAAGTGAATGACATTGCCTCAGCATTTGGCGGGCTTGCCTGTGATTGATCAATGAACCAAGGTACTAATTTGATGACAGGTACCCTAATAATCATTAAACCCTTGGCACCCAGTTCACTGGTTGAGAGGCAGCCTATGTGGGAGTGTGACATATGCCGAATAAATTGTAACATACTCTTTGGGTGCCACACAGGTGGTGTCCTTTGTTTTATGCTGGAGACATGTTCCATGTCCTAGGCAGCTCTGCTGATCTCAAATAGGCCATAAACAATTAAGCATAATATAACTTTTGTGCACTTTGTGAATAATGCCAATTCTGCATAGAGACCATAAATCCTCTAGTGCAGAATTTCCAGTAGAAAGTAGGACATTGCATAATAGCAAATCCTCATAAAGCGAATTCAAATAAAATGAAGGGGATCTTTATTTTATATATTTAATTTTATTAATATTATGATGAAATTTTGGATTTTTTCCTCAGTTTTTGCCCAAATTAATTTCTCTTTTATAAGTATATGATTATTTGGTGCTTGTACAATAAACTCTTGTCTTTGTTGGTACACATTTGTTAAGGGATGACCTAAAATTATTATAATTTTTGTTTCTGCACAATATAATATCAATTCTGTGATAATTTTTCTCTCTCTACAATATAATACCAATTTTTTTTATTTATATGCATTTTTTTTTTTTAACAAGTCGGCCATCTCCCACCGAGGCAGGGTGACCCAAAAAAGAAAGAAAATCCCCAAAAAGAAAATACTTTCATCATCATTCAACACTTTCACCTCACTCACACATAATTGCTGTTTTTGCGGAGGTGCTCAGAACACAACAGCTTAGAAGCATATACCTATAAAGATACACAACATATCCTTCCAAACTGCCAATATCCCAAACCCCTCCTTTAAAGTGCAGGCATTGTACTTCCCATTTCCAGGACTCAAGTCCGGCTATATAAAAATAACTGGTTTCCCTGAATCCTTTCGCTAAATATTACCCTGCTCACACTCCAACAGATCGTCAGGTCCCAAATACCATTCGTCTCCACTCACTCCTATCTAACACGCTCACGCACGCTTGCTGGAAGTCCAGGCCCCTCGCCCACAGAACCTCCTTTACCCCCTCCCTCCAACCTTTTCGAGGATGACCCCTACCCCACCTTCCTTTCCCTACAGATTTATACGCTCTCCATGTCATTCTTCTTTGATCCATTCTCTCTAAATGACCAAACCACCTCAACAACCCCTCTTCAGCCCTCTGACTAATACTTTTATTAACTCCACACCTTCTCCTAATTTCCACACACTGAATTTTTTGCATAATATTCACACCACACATTGTCCTTAGACAGGACATCTCCACTGCCTTGAACCGCCTCCTCGCTGCAGCATTTATAACCCAAGCTTCACACCCATATAAGAGTGTTGGTACTACTATACTTTCATACATTCCCTTCTTTGCCTCCATAGATAGCGTTTTTTGTCTTCAAATATACCTCAACGCACCACTCACCTTTTTTTCTTCATCAATTCTATGATTAACCTCATCCTTCATAAATCCATCTGCTGACACGTCAACTCCCAAGTATCTGAAAGCATTCACTTCTTCCATACTCCTCCTCTCCAATTTGATATCCAATTTTTCTTTATCTAAATCATTTGATACCCTCATCACCTTACTCTCTTCTATGCTCACTTTCAACTGCTCTGAAACTAAAAATATGCAATTAAAACATGTTTTCTCTTGCAAATTCTTGGATTGTACCTTTCTGTTTTACACGTTATATTTGGTTTGCTCATGTGTCATAGGCCGGGAAAGCATGTATCACATAAAACCCTCACATGACAGTTCCTTTACGTACATGCTGTGCTGGGTGGGTTTTGGCTCACTCATGATAGCACTGCCCTATATGTTTACCATGCCTTGTGACCTGTATACTCATTGTTTCTCCTTGGGTGGAAGTTCAGGTGGATAACACACTTCTGGTGAGGGGAGAGATCAGATGGGAGGTTTAGTGCTAGACCTGCCAAGTCAATCTTCTTGTCTTGCATCACTCTCTACGATCAGGTAAGGCAATGTATTTGGCCAGGGCCAGGCAAGTGTCAGAGGGTTGCCACTCTTTGGTCTTGTGGCTGCCATTTTGTCCTCTCTTAGTCACACCTACGCCTTTCTATCATCTCTTGGGGCCATTGTTTTAGTAAAAAGTGTCACTCTTCCTTGTTGGATGGGCAATTTGTAAAAATTCAGCCTCTTATTTGTTTATCTTTTCTTTAGAAAGTAGAGCAAAACATTGGGCAAACCGAGGGTGTGCTAAATGAGAGCTTGATGTATTATTGGTGTCTATAGGTGAGTAAGGTTCTGAGTTCTGAACATCTGAGGTAGAACTGAACTTTAAGAATGCAACTCTTGTATAAGTTTGCATCCACCTTTAATTGAAATTAATACATAATTGAACAAAATGAAATTGATATGGAAAGATTAGTTTACTAAAAGCTATTTAATACTGCTCCATCTCATGTGAAATTACTAAGTGAATACAAACTAGTAAATATGATGCTGTGTCAAATTAATCCTGTTACTCCCCTTATCAACACTTCTCCATCTCATCCTTCTTCCCTCCCTCCCTCCCTCCCACATGACACGCACATTCATACATACAGTACATACAAATAAGCTTGTATAAAGGTGTTTCTACCATTGACTTGATTAAGCTCGTCTAGAGTAAAGCGGTGTCTATGATAGTCTTGTCCTTATGGATTGATTTTGTTCACTTAATACCATGTAATTACCTAGTATTCTGTGCTACAACAGAGTACTAGTACACCAGCTTAATTAGTTATAATCTACACAGTATCTTACTGGCTTTTGTATAGTTCATATAGTATTCTGATGTAGTCATTCCATTTTATATTTCTCCTTATCTCTTGGCTGCTGCTGTTTTGTTTGATTCTTTTACCTAAATTTTATTATATCGAAAACTGAGTTAAATGCAGTGATAAGATTTTCAATGTATTTTGTGGGGCAGCAGATGTATCTTGCCTTCAAGAGATTTAAATTTATAATAATAATATTTGTCACAAGTGTATATAATTTTTCAAGTGTCATTCTGCTCAATCTCTTTAAGTGATTTTGTAGATAATGCAAAGTCGCTGTCTCCATGCATCATTGGTAATGTGTCCTCTTATTTGATCTGTTTTAAATATACTGTTTCTTGAAGTTATTGAAGATCTATTTTAATATGATTATACACCAAATATACAATATTTCTAATCCTTGGACTTTTTAAATCTTTTAAAGTGTTCTAAATATATCCATAAATGGGACTGTTCCTGAAATTGATATTCAAAACCAAATTGCATCATTTTCATAAATTTGAAATAGTGCTGTATGATCCCTACTGGTTTAACGCTTCTTTATGAATATTTTATACTTAAATAAAAAAAACTGTTAAATTGCCTGACATATGAACAAAGTTATTTTTATGTAGTTTTGTTTATTACTCAAATTGTTTAATGATGTGTTAAAACAGCCATTATTAAATATCAGACATGGCAAGGCCTTTTGTAAAACATCCTGATTGTATGTGTAGTTCTCAGTTCACTAATATAGTGGAACCTCGGTTTTTCGTATGGCCTAGTCTATATGTAAAACTATAGTTATTCTCTATAAAATGTATTTTTTGTTAATATTTTTGGGTGTCTGGAACGGATTAATTGGATTTACACTATTTCTTATGGGAAATATTAACAAAAAACACATTTTATAGAGAATAACTATAGTTTTACGTATAGACTAGGGCATATGAAAACCGAGGTTCCACTGTAGTTGATTTACTTTACATTTTATACATTATGATTGTTGGTAGAAAATCAGTCCTGTCTTGAGAGTAATGATAGTTCGAGTATGCTTGAAAGCAATTTTAATATTCTGAATGCAGAATGATAGAGAAGTCACAGAACTGGAAACTGGTTGAAGGGCTTTTGATCCAGCAAATTAGAGCTGTCCTCCCCCTCATCTGATCAGACTTGGTTACCTCCAGTTTCCCAGGGAATCTATGTTACCTGAAGGTTTAGAGCTTTTTCCATGAATGTAATCTAGAAGGTATTATAAAACTCCCCATTATTTCCATTTAATGTTAACATTATTACAGCTTGACATTCAGTAAAGCCAGTGTCAGGCTGTAACAACGTAATAATAAGTGGTTCATACTCTGCCACTCAGATAATTGCTACCTGAAACTCATTTGCCTTCATTATTGCATTTATTAATATGATAAGTTTTAGTACCCAGAAATTCAGCCTATGTTCTTTAGAGTGAAATATTTCACTTTTTATTAAAATTGCCTCTGTGATCAGGAATGAGCATAGGTTATGCAATAGGAAAGTGGGATCCAAGGGGACGTAGTATGATATAGGGCGCAGTAAATTAATACTTTGTGCACAGACAGTATAGATGAGGCAACATGAGCATTTCTCTGCTTCTGTTGGTACAACAGATGGGTAGAACAGGCAGGTTATGATATTTATGCCCAGGAATATTTTGTATAAGGTTTTTCAAGGATGGGCTTTTCCAGGAAAAGATCCATGGATATTCAGTGGAAACTGAATATCCAACTGAGAAAAAGTAAGCAAACCCTTTGGTGTAAAGGCTGTGAAGACTTTAAATGAACTAGAGAAAATGACAATAGATGCAACCTCCATACAGATACATGCATTAGATATAATTCATTTCAGTCATTTGGGGGTTAACACCCAACACCTAGATCACAACCACTCAAACTGAAATAGTTAATTATGTAAGTACAGTAGTTATTTTACACACACGCACACGAACGATACACAAATAACCTGCATATAGAAGAGAGGAGCTTACGACGATGTTTCGGTCCGACCAAAACGTCGTCGTGTGCTCCTCTCTTCTATATGTGGGTTATTTGTGTAACAGTTTTAGAATGAGTTACTGGAAGAAGTAGTGCTACAGCCACTGAAAATTAAGAAAATTAAGAAATTAAATACTGAAGATAGGACCCTAGGACCTTAGCTTTGCTCCTCTGGCTACATGACCCTTGTTGGTTTTGCACTTTATATGATTATAATAATAATCCTCTAGCTACAAATTGGAAATTTCACACAATTACCTGGAGCAAGAACTTAGCCTCTGCAGCCACAGGTAGGTAAGTAAATTGTATGATCAGGTGTGTAAACACCTGGCAAGTATACTTATATCTTTCAGAGATATGCCACCAGGCTTCCTTCAGAGGCAGTGTTTAAATACTGGTGAAAGACTTGATCCAGAGACCCAAAGTTACCCTCCTTTTTCTGGGATCAAACATGGCTGGTTCCTATTTCCTAGGTGCTGTATGACCCTAATGGGTTTAGCCCTTCCCAATTAATATATATATAAAAGAGGAACTTTAAAGCAAGGTAAATGAGCAAAGGGGATCACAAGAGGCAAACAAGTAGTTAAGAGAAATTCCTTAAAAATTCAGATGTTAATACAGCAGGGAGACCCTTAGAGGTTAAGCGCTTCTTTTTTATTATAATAATACAGCATGGCAAAAACTACCAGGCTGGAGATGCCACAAATTGGTCAGTTAAGGGTTTAGAGGAGGGTTCCAGAAGCTAGTGCCTAATGTCTGCAAATTCAGGTAGGTGAGTATAAATAGTGGTCAGATGTTTATAGTTTGATTTCTGTCTTGCTGTGTTTGCATGGCTCAAACTAGAAAACGTTCATTGATATAAAATTTCACATCAGCAGCCTGGTTGAAGAGAGAACAGAAGCCTGGCCCAAGGCTGGGCTACAAGCGTAGATAAACTCTTGAAACTGGTTACTTTTAGTCTGACTTTGTGGGGATAAGTTTCATCTAGGCAGCAGTATTAATGCATACCTGCTTTTCTATCCTTATTCAGTCTGTTTAGCCCATGCAGATTTAGCTCTTGTTTTTTAATATATCCTTATTGCATTTAACAAGTGAGGATCGAGCCTCCACTACTAATGTTAAATCACCCCCTTGAATTTAGTGCTTCATATACAGTGGACCCCCGGTTCCCGATGTTACCGGTATCCGATAAATTCGGTTGCCGATGCATTTGATCGAAAAAATTTTGCCTAACTTCCCGATACAAAACCCGGTATGCGATACGATTCGTACGAGACGTGTCCACTTGTGGCCTGAACTCCCCCGTGTGTACCAGTGTTTACAAGCCAGCCAGTGTGCGCGCATCTAAGGATACATTCGGTACATTCCATATTATCCATATTATCACTGTTTTTGGTGCTTGTTTCTGCAAAATAAGTCACCATGGGCCCCAAGAAAGCTCCTAGTGCCACCCCTTCGAGACCAAGGGTGCTAATGACTGTTGAAATGAAGAAAGAGATAATTGCAAAGTACGAAAGTGGAGTGTGTGTGTCGGAACTGGTCAGGTTGTATAGTAAACCCCAATCAACCATCTCTACTATAGTGAGCAGGAAAACGGCAATCAAGGAAGCTGTTCTTGCAAAAGGTGCAACTGTGATTACGAAACAGCGACCGCAAGTGTTAGGAAATGTTGAGAGACTGTTATTGGCGTGGATAAATGAAAAACAGATAGCAGGAGATAGCATCTCTCAAGCGATCATTTGTGAAAAGGGTGATGAAAATCACCCTCACTCAGCTATTGCAAGCCATGCTGGTGACTATTACACTGACAATGTTGTGAAACACTTTAGGAAAGTCATAAAAGAACGAGAGGTACAGGCCTCTATGGACAGATATGTTGTGCGACAGAAGTCCAGTGACTCTCAAGCTGGTCCTAGTGGCATTAAAAGAAGAAGGGAAGTAACCCCAGAAAAGAACTTGCTACCTCAAGTCCTAATGGAAAGGGATTCCCCTTCTAAACACTAAGACCATCCACACACTCCCCTCCTCCCATCCCATCAATCATCACCAGATCTTCAATAAAGGTAAGTGTCATGTAACTGCATGTCTTCTTCAGTTTGTGTGTATTAAAATTAATATTTCATGTGGTAAAATTTTGTTTTTTTTCATACTTTTGGGTGTCTTGCATGGATTAATTTGATTTCCATTATTTCTTATGGGGAAAATTGATTCGCTTTCCGATAATTTTGGTTTACGATGAGCTCTCAGGAACGGATTAATATCGTGAACCGGGGGTCCACTGTATACTGTATATATATGCAAAAAACAATTAACAAATTAAAATTCTTTCAGAGTGCCTCAGACACTTGAAATAAATGAACCTGTGTTTATCAAGGAGCCAGGCAATGGATTACTTTTGCAGTGTCTTCAACCAGGCCAGCTTTTCCTAAACACCACAAACACTTCTGCTGGAATGATCCCATAATGAAGAATTTTACCTCGATGTTGCTTGAGAATTTATCTGGTAAGGACAAAGCTTGCTTCTTAGCTCTGAAAGATCATATTGGAGATTAGTTATTAGTTTTTTAATAACTTCCTGGGCACTCAATTTTATCCTTTTGAATATTCACATTGTTGTTGCCCTTCACCACTTTCTCTATCCTCACCGAGCACATGTGTACTTGTGGCAGTGCATCGACAGACTAGTTCCAACACCATGGTGTCAGACATCTACTATAGATTATAGAGTAAGAGGTTACTGTAATGGTATTATCAAGGAAAGCCTGACCACAGTCTGTTGCCCATCACAAAGGGACTCCAAACTATGCAGTGTCAGTTGCATGTGAAAATTTTTTGGGGGAGTCACCAACCATACAGTACTATTCCGAAGAGATAACATCTAGAATATGTGGGATTTCATTATTATTATTTACAATACCAGACACCTAGATCTAATGTAATGGATCTGAAATAGTGGTACTGTAAACTTCAAGTATTCCTAAAACATAAGAAAATCAATGATACTGCATTATTGCATTGGTACAACTTCATCCCAAGAGGTCTCCAGATCTAGTGGGATGTTCCTGAAAGAGATAGGCAATGAACTCATTTGGGAACTTAAGGATCAGAAAAAAGCATTATTACATTAATGTTTTACAAAAGTAACACATACTACATGAATAGGACCTGTGCTACACTTGGGCATCTAATGTTGAGATGTTTCATTACCCTATATGGAGAATAAGTGGTGGATAACTCCAAGTGTTGTGTGTCTTATTTGATCTCAAAGCAGCCAGTTTCTTGTTCCCTTTTAGTTTTGCAGTCCAGAGAGATGATGCCTGTTATATCATAGCTGTGCGTATATCTTACCTCGAAGGCACTGGGTATAATATTTAAAATGTAAATGTTGGCAAGTATGTTTGTATGCGTAATGTAATCCTTGACCCAACTACATGAAACAAATTATTCAAACTAAATCAAGGGGTAATTGAAGACAATATTGTATTCAGATAACATCCTCTTTATATATATATATTACTGAAATGTAACAAAAATTCTATGTATATAATTTTAGTTAAAATGTTGAGTTTTCAGTACCTGAAAGTTGAGATTCAGTAACAGAAATGTTTGCTAAAGTGTCTGCATGACCCATCTTCATATGAAGGCAGATAATAATATATATATACGTATGTATGCACCCGAAGGGTGTAAAATGACAAATTCTGTGTATATGTAAATATTTTTGTATGTATGTATATTTACACACTTGTATATACATACATGCACATTCATATTCATTTAGAATTACTGCACACTTACATTAGAAGGTAGAGTACATTGATTCATTGCATCACAAATGTTTTCAGCATTATTTCAAGGGACATGAATATATTTTTATTGATTGCACTTAAAGTATTGATAAAGTTGTATATGAGAAAATTTGTATGCACTTTAATACCCTATCTGTGCACACCTTTATTTTCCTTAAATAATAATTGATTAGAAAGATGTTTTTCAAATTTTACAATTATTTTAATTTATTTACCATGTGGTAAGCTTCAAGATCATTAATTCTGACCTTTATTGTGAATCCTCTTTGAAGGAAGAAGGGAGATTTAATGCCAGTGAAGGGTTCTGGATCAACCCTAATTGCGTCCTGTTCCCCAGGCATTGCACGCCACCCGTAGGATTAGCATCATAAATACAGCACTTATTATTATAATCAGGAAAAACAATAAACCTTGAGGTGCAAGGGGTCACAGGAGCCAATCAAGTTAGATTTAAGGAGTGGATAGGTCCACTTCCCTGGATCAAGAGCCTCTCACTGGTATGAAGGCATCTCTCTCAAAGGGCAGTAATAATTTAGCATATTCACTGGGCTTCATATATCACATTCCAAGTTATTCCTCCACTTGCCACATTCTTTATTAAAAACCAACAATAAGACATACTATTGTAAATTATTTTCAGTGTGGGGAATATATAATTCCAGTGAATGTTTTCAATGTAATATACAGGACTTGCGAAGAATAAGCATCTTTGTATCTTACTCACCTGTGATTGTGCGTTTAGCTCTTCCCTTTGAATATAATAATTCGTTGATGCAAAACTAGTATTATGGACATTGAATTGAAGAAATTTGGGTATCACCTCAAATCTGTAAGAAATATGAAGCAGTATCTAAATTTCCTAAATTCAAAAAATAATAGTTTGTTTATACAGAGTATGTATTGTTGCTTAATAAGCTAAAACAAATTGCATGTTGTTTAAGTTAGAGAACATTTTAGGTTTTCCCTTGCTTTGTGTCTGCTCACTCTCAATTTTCTGTTATGTTTGTCCCATTTCTGTCAGTAATTTGGTACAGGTGATATACATATTTGCCATATGCGTTTGGTGCAATTCACAAAGCTTATTGAAGATTGTTATTATGTGGAATTAAGTATTGAAGGCCTTATTGAACTTAGTATAGCTGCCATGGGCTAGGAACACATGCTACACAAGTCAAGGGATACCTGTATATGATTACTTTCCCACTGCATCTGTTATATTTAGTCGTACCTCAATGACTAGCATGAGGATTAAAGAACGATTGAGATAAATATATATTTTTATGGGTGAGGAACGCTTGAGTGAGGAAAATCACTTTTGATGTTTTCTGTACCAAGCATGAAAGACAAGCCACAGGCCAAGTAGAGCATTTTTGCCTGATGGGCTCTCTGCTGGTGAAGGGCTCTTGATCCAAGGAACTGGAACTCCCTTTCCTTGGATCAAACCTGATTACCTATCATTCCCCAGGCGCTGTATGAACTTGAAGGTTTAAGCGTTTCCTTGTGAAAATATGAATAATAATCGTAATTGGTTCTGCAGCTACCCTCCTTTTTTTTTAGGCAAGCTAGACATATAATTTTTATTGTGCTTCAGTATATAGTCTTTTATTTGGCTTCACCATTATATATTGTATGACAACACTTTGAACCCGATTCATTGAGCTCATAGCTGATGAATGCCATTATTTTCAAGACTTTCTACACATTTTGATGTACTTTATATTATTTTCGTTCTTGAATCCTCAGCCAATACTGTTGGCACGAGGTCCGAGTCTTCTAGATAAAAATTCACCGCCTCTGATCTAACCTTTAACTGTCAAATTTGTATTCTCTTTTGATGCATTGTAATTGTATAAAGTCCTTTGTGTATAGATACTTTGCCCTGAATGAAAAGAATAAATTCTTATAGATAAACAGTATTTTATTATTTCCTGTATTAGCTATAGGGATGTTGCATCCTTGCCATATACAGCCTCTCCTCACTTAGTGGCCAATATGCAACCCTGTGTAATGTATACAGTATTAGAGCTGATTTCCTCTAGTTTGTATATTATAGTATACAGTGCACAACTGTATAAACATTTAAAAATATACTAAAAGTGTTATAAATGGTGCAAAGGTGATATTATAAAAATATCTATAAAGATTTTTTTTTTTTTTTTTTTTTTAACAAGTCGGCCGTCTCCCACCGAGGCAGGGTGACCCAAAAAAGAAAGAAAATCCCCAAAAAGAAAATACTTTCATCATCATTCAACACTTGCCTCACTCACACATAATCACTGTTTTTGCAGAGGTGCTCAGAACACAACAGTTTAGAAGCATATACGTATAAAGATACACAACATATTGTGAGATAAGATGATTTTTTAGCAGAGTCCTAAATTTATAAGTTGTCTGGGGATCCTTGACTTGTCCCGGTAGTGAGTTCCAGATCTTTGGGCCTTTCATGTGCATAGCGTTCTTGCATGGTGAGAGTCTTACTCGAGGGATGTTGAAAAGGGCCTTATGCCTTGTATTGTGACTGTGCATTCTGTTGTAACTGTCAAGGAGTAGTTTTAAGGGAGGGTTTACAGTGGAGTATAAAGTTCTGTATATGTAGTAGGCACAATAATAAGAGTATGTGTCTTGTATATTTAGCAAGTTGAGTCTTTTGAAAAGTGGTGGTGTGTGCTGTCTAGCACAGGAGCTGGTTATCACCCGCACAGCAGCTTGTTGTTGGATTATTAAGGGTCTAAGGTGGTTGGCTGTGGTTGAGCCCCAGGCACAGATACCATAGGTGAGGTAAAGATATATTAGAGAGTGGTACAGGGTAAGGAGAGTCGTTTGTGGTACACAGTAACGTATCTTGGAAAGGATTCCAACTGATTTGGAAATTTTCTTGGCTATGTGATGGGTATGGGACCAAAATTTAAGATTACACTCAAGGAGAAGACCTAGAAATTTGCCCTCCGTGTGTCTTGATATAGGGGAACATATTATGTCACAAACCTACTGGAGTTTTATAGTTTTATGACAAGGTGACAGAAGTAAGACTGCATTTTCTTGGACTGCAAGAAGGCCTTCGACACAGTTCCTCACAAGAGGTTACTGCAAAAGCTAAAGGATCAAGAACACATAACAGGAAAGGCACTGCAATGAATCAGAGAATACCTGACAGGGTGGGTGTGGGTGGGTGTGAGTTGGACCTGACTAGCTTTGCTGCTGGGTCTGGTACAGTGCTCCATCCTTGAGTGGGGATGACCAGACTGGGTGGGTCATTGGGATAATCCGGGGGGGGGGGGACATGGACCTGCTCCGCGTGGGTCAGTAGGCCTGTTGCAGTGTTCCTTCTTTCTTATGTTCTTATGTGATGAGATGCCAAAATGGGCGCCTGTGACAAGCGGGGTTCCACAGGGGTCAGTCCTAGGACCTGTGCTGTTTTTGGTATATGTGAATGACATAACGGAAGGGATAGACTCAGAAGTGTCCTTGTTTGCAGATGATGTGAAGTTAATGAGGAGAATCAAATCGGATGAGGATCAGGCAGGACTTCCAAGAGACCTGGACAGGCTACAAGCCTGGTCCAGTAACTGGCTCCTTGAATTTAACCCTGCCAAATGCGAAGTCACGAAGATTGGGGAAGGGCAAAGAAGACTGCAGACACAGTATAGTCTAGGTGGCCAAAGACTGCAAACTTCACTCAAGGAAAAAGTTCTTGGGATGAGTATAACACCGAGCACATCTCATGAGGCCACATCAATCAGATAACTGCTGCAGCATACGGGCATCTGGCATACCTAAGGATAGGGTTCCGATACCTCAGTAAGGAATCGATCAAGACTCTTTACACCATTTACGTCAGGCCCATACTGGGGCGCGTCAAGAAATTAGAGAAAGTGCAAAGGTTTGCAACAAGACTAGTCCCAGAGCTAAAGTGATTGTCCTACGAAGAAAGGTTAAGGGAAATCGGCCTGACGACACTGGAGGGCAGGAGGGTCAGGGGAGACATGATAGTGACATATAAAATACTGTGCGGAATAGACAAGGTGGACAAAGGCAGGATGTTCCAGAGATGGGACACAGAAGCAAGAGGTCACAATTGGAAGCTGAAGACTCAGATGAGTCAAAGTGATGTTAGGAAGTATTTCTTCAGTCACAGAGGTGTCAGAAAGTGAATTTGCCTAGAAAGTGACGTAGTGGAGGCAGGAACCATACATAGTCTTAAGATGAGGTTTGATAAAGCTCATGGAGCAGGGAGAGAGAGGACCCAGTAGCAACCAGTGAAGATACGGGACAGGAGCTATGAATCGACCCCTGCAACCACATATAGGTGAGTACACACACACACACACACACACACACACACACACACACACACACACACACACACACACACACACACACACACACACACACACACACACACACACACATGCACACACACATGCACACACACATGCACACACACAGCACACACACACACACACACACACACACACACACACACACACACACACACACACACACACACACACACACACACACACACACACACACACACACACACACACACACACACACACACACACACACACACACACACACACACACACACAAATATCTGGACAGTCTGCAGGCCTGGTCCAGCAATTGGCTCCTGCAGTTCAACCCCACCAAGTGCAAAGTCATGAAGATTGGGGAAGGGCAAAGAAGACTGCAGACGGAGTACAGTCTAGGGGGCCAGAGACTACAAACCTCCCTCAAGGAAAGAGATCTTGGGGTGAGTATAATACCAGGCACATCGCCTGAGGTGCACATCAACCAAATAACTGCTACAGCGTTTGGGCGCCAAGCAAACCTAAGAACAGCATTCCGACATCTTAGCCCCTCAAGGAAGGTTCCTTGATGTTGGGCCCCTCAAGGAAGGTTCCTTGATGTTGGTGAGGGGCTCTTGATTTAGGGAATTGGATCTGTGCTCCAGTTCCCCGAATTAAGCCTGAATGCCTTCCACATCCCCCCCTAGGCGCTGTATAATCCTCCGGGTTTAGCGCTTCCCCTTGATTATAATAATAATAATCCTTGATGTTGGTGAGGCTCTTGATTTAGGAATTGGATGTGCCAGTTCCGAATTAAGCCTGATGCTTCACATCCCCGGCGCTGTATAACTCGGATTAGCGTTCCCTTTGATAAATGCTGTATGGTCCTTGTGGCTTAGCGCTTCTTTTTGATTTTAATAGATAATAATTAGATTAATAGAACCCGACATCTTTGTAAGGATGTCCAGAACCTGTACAACTGTGTAGTTAGCCCAATGAGTATATCACAGTTTGGAACCCACACTAGCCAAGCTACGTAAGAACTAGAGAAAGTGCTAAAGTTGCAAAAGACAGTCCAGAGCTAAGGAGCATACGAGAAGAGGTAAGGGAATGACCTGGCGACATAGGAGAGGAGAGATAGGGGGACATAATATGACATATAAATTACTGAGAGGAATTGACAAGATGGACAGAGACAATGTTCCAGAAATGGGACACAGCAGCAAGGGGACATAGTTGGAAGTTGAAGACACAGATGAATCACAGGGATGTTAGGAAGTATTTCTTCAGTCACAGAGTAGTCAGGAAGTGGAATAGTTTGGGAAGTGATGTAATGGAGGCAGGATCCATTGATAGCTCTAAGCAGAGGTATGATAAAGCTCATGGTGCAGGGAGAGTGACCCAGTAGCAGCCAGTGAAGAGGCGGGGCCAGGAGCTATGTATCGACCCCTGCAACCACAACTAGGTTAGTACACACTCTTTCCCCCTGCACCCTCTCCCCACCTCTCTCCCACTCCCTTCCCTGATCCCACCCTCTCTCACCCTCCACCATCCTCTCCCTCCTTTCCCTCTTTTCCCCTCTCCATCTCCCATTCTCTCTTCCCCTCTGCTTTTCCCTCCTCCTCTCCTCATATTCCCCTCCCCACCTCTCTCCCATTTCCCCAGTCTCCAGTTTCTCCTCTCCCTCTCTCTCCCCCCCCCACACACTCAGGCAATCACACCACAAAACAACCACACAGAAATACATAGTTTTTCATTCTGTGGCATCTAAAAAAAAAAGAATGGGTTGCTAGAGAGCAGGACGAAAAACCAAGGGGTTTGAGGATGAGTCTGTGAAGGTCGATTGGGCAGCAGAGCTCATGAAAAGGGAATATGAGTGGGAAGGAAGCTAGAAGAGCTTAGCATGAAAATGGAGGAGAGGATAGCTGCAGAGAGGAGAAAATGGGAGATGCAAGTCACAGCAGCAGAAGCTAAGATACAGAGATTAGAAGAGGAACTGAAAAATCTGAAACAGCCTAAAGAGCTAATAAGCAATGTGGACATGGCATCAGAATCTGCTATCTCAGTCACAAATAAGGGGACTGTTGGGAATGAAGAAGTGAAACAGTATGCAGAGGCTCTATCAGACCATCGTGGAGCCCAAGAAAAAGAGAGAGAGGGTCAAATCAGGAACAATCGAGGGGAGAGTAGAAAATGAAAGAGTTAAGTTTTACATAGAAGCCCTAACAGACCATACCAGTGCATAGGGACATCTGAGAAGGTAAACAGCAGACCACTGGGCCCAAGGACAACAGACAGTGAAAAGATTGAAAAAAGGAAAGCTGCAATGGAGGCAACTAAATCGAATCAGGGAATCCATAGGGATATACAGTGGGAGAACGAAAGGGAGAGATCAGCCTTTGTTTATGGGCTCCAGGAAGTTGAAGGGGAAACTTATGAAGCAAGAAGACAAGGGAAGAAGAAAGTGACTGAATGCATCATGATAGCAGTAGGAGAAGGTGACATAACCCAGCTGGCAAACTTTATGAGAATAGGGGGGTTTGCAAGAGGAAGAATCCGGCCAGTCAAAGTGATTTTCAAGGCAGAATTGGCTCGAAACAGGATCCTGCAGGAGAAAGC